GAACTTCAACTATATGACACCACTCCCTAATTTAGTATAATATGCATAAGAAAATGTATATGTAGATATTATACAAACTAGAAGTATACACTTACTTAAAACATTCAAGAAACCCAGAGATTGGCAACGCATTCGATGAATAATTGCAAGATCACAATACATTTTACCAAAAGAAGAGTAAAACAGTAGGGTTGATTAATCTGAAATTGATTATTGAAAATCATCATTTTCCACTTTTCTATTTTGAACACTAACAACTTAAAAAAATACAAAATCCATCCGAGGATATTAAACCATCACCATAAAAAATTATCCTAGTTATGATGCCTTATCAAAGAGTATTGCAGCATGGCTAATCAAAAGCATTTCTTTACCTACTCCCCTTCTTTGGAACAGATACCCCATCTTTGGACTTTTCACCTGCGATCCGCGAATGAATAAAAAGGTCCATACTTTTATTAATGTGTTCCGACAATAATAGAAAGCTATTTTACTTATCCATATTGTGAAATGGCATAGTATAAAAACAAAGCACTGAGAACTGTAACTATCAGAACTTGAACAGAAAGCAGTAAGTAGTTCTTCAGCTATACTAACCTTCGGAATCCGGCTTCACCTTCTCATTGGGATTGATTGTTCCTCCTCGAACAAAGGCCTTCGACCCCGGTGCGTTATCCCCTTGAAATGACTCCACAAACTCCGCATATAAGCGAGCTGTTTCATCCTCCGCTCTCTGAAACGAATATCGAAAAGAATAAAACAGTACTTTGTCAGTAAACCTCACTTCCACAGAAGCCTAGCCAACAAGCCCAACGAAGTTAATAATCAATGGCCGCAGCGGCACCTTTTTCTTTGCCTCTTCCTCCTCCCTGTGCTTCTGGAACGGAGTCTTCTTCCGCGTAATCGAGAACGAACTCATTTTTGCATCAGCTTCTGCAAATCAGTCCCACAAAATGCATCAAAATTCAACACTTTAACGTCAATTCACAAATTATCAAAAACATGAACCAAAATTTGCATACAAAATAAAACTCTAAACCATGCAGAGATTACGAAATTCATAATCCCTAATTTATTTAGCTCAATGGTCAGAAATCAAATCTGCTTACCGATAGAGTATGGGAAGGTTGAAGCTTTAATTCCTGCAAAGCCCTAACCCTACTGGTCCGATTGCGAATCCGCCCTCTCTCTTCTGCAAAACTGAAAACCGCGGAGGACGACGACTGTGAAACGCAGGTGGTGTGGATCAGAAATTCAGAAAGAGGCTCCGCAAAAGCCCTAGTCGTAAATACTGAAATTATTTTGCCTTTTGGAGATAAATATAATTTGGGTCTTAATATTATTAGAATTTTGGAATATATATTCCAACCAAAAATGAAAATATAATTTACAACTCATATTTGATGACGAAATTACAAATTATATTAATCCAAAATTAAAATATAACTTGCATATCATAGTTGGACATCTTTCACCATTATAAAATGAAACGCCACTAAAATAATCAAGGTCTTGAGACGTTTTATATTTAATTTTTTTAATTTTTTACCATTATTATGAAGATCGAGGAGAGTTCAAAATTATATAATTTAGGAGATGAGTAGTTTCGAATTCAAAACGCATACATATAAACTCAACATCTTATTTACTAAAATATTAGACCACTCAACATCTTATTCACTAGAATATTGGACCACATGCGACAGTAATCTCTCTTTAATGGTTTATTTGCATTTGGGAAAGAAAAAAAATAAGAATTCTCACCCTTCATTGTTAGAAGAGTTAAGTTTCATCCGTTGATTAAAATAAATATATAGAGCTCGCTCGTTCGAAATTGTTTCTAAAATGACTGAAAGCCCTTACAATGAAAATGATTTTAAAATCAATCCTTAATAAAAGTCCGAGTAGATGCTGATAAAAACACTTTAAATCCTTCGTGCAAAAAGCACTTCAATACCTAAAATCAATTTCACCAAAAAAACGTTTTCAATCATTTGAAAAACACTTCCAATCAAGCCAATAATTGCTAAAAACCATTACTTTCTGTTTTTTGAGAAGGAAAACCACTACTTTTGAAAGCAATATATAATTTAGTTGTTTTGATTGAACTTCTAGCCACACTAATTAGACTTACTTTTGGGTATCTCCGTTTGAAGGTAAACAGTACAAGATTCAGATATCATCACAGCCAGAGGCTTACGAAACAAAGAACAATTGCTCCGAAAAGACAACAAACGTTGATTTTCATTTGAAACTTGGGCAAAGCCACCATCTAATTTTGAAGTTATGTGCACAGATAGAAAGCTTACAACACCAGAATAACACACAGACCGGATGAAAGCCAGGATAGTCGAAAGCCGGGTAGTTATACACTTCATATCTAAATCTCTTTAAAATCCGATTCAACTCTAAAAATACTCCATTTTCTTTTCCTTTATCATTTTTGCAGATTTGCTACAGACCTAATCTGCAGCATCACTTTAGTCAATGTGCAAGTTTCTGCAGATGTCGAAGCGTCCGTTGTTTAATCCACTGTCTGTCGTATGGGAGATATCCCTGAATTGAGTGGTCATAACTGCAAACCAAAACCAGACAGAAGGTATCAGTTTCACACATAATTCGAACCTTTCTAACACCAAATCTGAAGATCATTGACATATTCTACAATATACATAATTTGGTGCCTATTTTGTGTGAGTTTTGTTGAGAGAGAGAGAGAGAGAGAGGCATACACTAAAGCACTCATGTCAGCAAGACCATCAATGAAATTGTAGAGATCTCCGATGTCGTAAGAGATATCTCTAATTGCTGGATTTAACTCCCTCAGCTTCCTCTCATATAGTCCACATATACCTATACACACCACAGCTTAACTTCTAGTCAATGCAAACAAAAAAATGGCGGTTATAACCACATTATATCTTGGGAGCCCTCCCACCCTTTTTCACCATGAAGTATCCAGCAGTGAACCAGGAGGGTTAAAAAACTCTCAGGAACATATAGTCAAACACATATATTTACAGACAAAAGAAGAAGCGGGCCAAGGAAGAAACATGTTTTCTCTCATATGAAGTGGAAGTTTAATATGTACACGAACCATCATGTTTCACCGAACACAAATAAACTAATCAAAACACATGTCATATAGTAGGCTCCCACAACTTATAAACTCCCAGCCTAACTAAAATAACTATCACGGACAACTGCACACTCAATCATGACAGAAAGCACAGAAGCAAACTAATATTTCATTCATGTACCCCCATGTGAGTTTTATAAGCTCCAAGGTCTTCACTAGGAATCTGGATAAAGTGCTGAGGCACTACCAATTACTAATCACATCTTTCAGTTTTCATGAAAAACTTACTTACCTAATAGGTGAAAGTAAACAATTTTCTGCCTCTCTGGAATCACCTATACCCTTTCTACAGTTTCTTTCAAGAATCAGCAGTTCACAAGCATTTTTTTTTTTTTCTTATACACAATGATTCCTTTTATGACACGATGAAGTAGTTCACAATGTCAGAGACTAAATACACTTTGGGGTCGAAAGAATTGAAGAACGATAACAATGATAATGTACCAACACAATTTTATAAATAAAACGTAATCACAACAACAACCATAAATAAAACATACCATCCATTGCTTGACTTATAGAATCATAGTCCATAAATGTTCTACTTGCTTTGTTGTGAGAAGTTTGCATTAGAATGATTGTGTGCTTGTTCGCCTACATATGAAGAAAAAAGTACAATTTAGTCAGCAATTGAACACGATGGACGCATATTATGAAAGCATGCAAAAAGTACTCTCCAATCTAAAAACATCGAAATCATCATAAAACAAAGCATTATTGATATAACATCTGTATCATACTGTAATGCTTGACAACAAAGTTCAACAGCAAACTCACATTCACTTAACACGGTTTCAAATTCTAAAAACGTAACCTTTCGAAAAACCCACAAACCAGAACCCTAGCAGTCTGTTTGGTTCCTCAGAAAACAGAGTAAATAAAGAAAACCTGACATATTAAGGAAACAGAAAAAAGATTGCAATTTCTAAGCCTAATATGCTCTGGTACTCTAATTTTGTCAAACCCATCAGAAAATTCCCATCAAAGCTTAATCAGTAAAAAACCTAGATTCTCAGCTTCCATACAAAATCCAATTTACAGAACAAAACCCTAATTTTGCATAAACTTATAAATGTAGAAATTGCAGAGGAAAAATTACAGAGAAAAGCATAAAAATGTTGGGAGATAAAGAAGCTAGATTACCATGTGAGAGCTGACAGTGACGACCCAAAAGTTTGCAGCAAAATTAGGGTTCTGTAGAGAAGACGCGACAGCCGGAGGAAGAGAGGGAGTGGGAGAGAGTTGAAGAAGAAGACTTTGACCAGGGTCTCTAGGTTAGGGACGCGTCGGAGTTGAGGGTAAAATAGACAATTACGATCTCGGTTGCGGTGGTCTTTTTGATGGAGAATTCAGACCGTTGGATTTGTTTACTTGTTCTTTTGTTGTAACAGTCAAAAGTGTTATTTTTAGAGAAAGTGGGAGAAGGGGGAGGGGGGGGGAATGGAAAAATCGAAAGACTTTGGGCAGCAAATAATAAAACGAGTCAAAAAACGAAGGAAGACTTTGTGGCCTTTGGGATGGGGCAGGTCAACGCAAGTCAACGGGGTGAAAGGAGGTGATTGCGGATATAGAGTTGTTTGATGAGAGCAACTTTTACACCGAATGTCATCAGGTGAATTCGTGTTAGTCGTAAAATATTTTAGACCTATATGATCTGCCCAAAATCCTCTGTATAGGACATTCGTCCATAGTCGAACGAATTATTTATGTATGTTCGTTTATAGTTGAACGAACTATTTATGTACGTTCGTTTATAATCAAACAAACCATATTATGTACACATAATGTAGTCATCAAAAATTATGGTCAATCTAATTGCTATAATAAACTTTGTCTAATAGTAATTTGCATCATGAATAGTCCATCGTATAAGATACACCGAGGATGAAAAAAGAATCCGAACTTCAGACATTTCTCAACATTTACAAGATAAGTACCCCCAAACCAAACTTGTCATGTAAAACTTTGTACAATATATGAGGCAGCGATTGCAATAATCGTCACAAAAATCTTATATAAAACCAAGTTACGCTGGCACTACTTCCTCTCACCCTAAAAAATTGGGCACCTAAGCTTCAATCTTCCCCTTCGATGGGACCAATTCCAAGCTCTGATCATCTACATCACTAAATTCAGAAGAATTCTTAGTCAAAAGATCAGAAGGAATCAACATATCAAGCTGATCAGCCTTGGGAACCAAGAAAATCAAACCAAGAGTCAAAAATCTCAACACATTTCTAATCATAAGGGCCAGCCACAAGTTTGTAAAATTAGTCCTTGTGACACTCAAGGCATGAAGCACTGCTCCACCACCCCATTTCGACGACAGCGAGCCAAGGCTGTCGATACACATCAACAGCGCGAAGAACGTGCCCTCGATGCCTAGAGGGCAGAGCCTCGTGCTCAGTACGATCATAGGCATCCATCGGATCTTGGTAACGATTCGAAACACGCATTCTTCCATGATCACAAAGAAGTAGTCGGGAATGCCTAGAGCTAGGTTCCACCTTAGGATGAAAGTTAGGTCGAGAAGTCCGGACATGGCGTAGAGGAGTTGAGCAAAGAAGACTAGGTTCCGAAAAGGGTAGTTTTTCAGAGTCTTGTGGTAGATCAGAACTCCTACTATCGAAGCCACTGCACCAACTGCATAAATCATCCCAACAAACTCCTGCTCATGGATAAAAATAGCTAATCAGTTAACAAATGATGCTAAAAAAAGAAGTAAACTGTAACTGGTGATGAAAATCATTATTAGGACTCCAAAACAGTCATCGTGAACTCTTCCGTGGAGAATGACTATCTCAGAGTGCTAATAACAACTCTCGTTCAGTGAGAAATATTAATTTTGTTGTAGAGATTGACCTGAGAGAATGCAGGGCCAGCTGAAGGGTCAGTGTACCAATAAAAATTACCTTCCTGAGTGTTAATACTGAGGGCCAAGGAGAGGTACATGTAAAGGGAAGGTTTCCACACCTGAGGTAGTTTGATTGTTTTGTACATTCCGCTCATTGCCACTCCCACTTCTTCCACTGCCTGCAAACATGAACACATTTGTACTTTAACATGATCAAATTCGAGCTTTTCTAACACGGAGGTTAACCCATTTTTGCACCGATCGACTGCCATGCACTGGCCGTATGATCGACAAGACGCAAAATCGGTTAAAGGTGGAAGATTTAGATTTCTAACCTTCTTCCTATGAGAGTGAAGGTTGGTTGATCTTTGTTCATACATAACAAAGCCCAGAACAGTTAGAAAGATTGGTGGGATTGCCAAGAGACACAATGCACCCTACAACACAAGACAACATGTCGATTTTTTAATTTTCAGAATTCATAATTGAAAGTTTTAACGAAAAGTTCGCGGTACTGTTCATTTTAATGAAAAAACAAATTTTAACACTAAAAAATCAAACCTGGTACTATTTACTTTACCCTTTATTTTATCCTTATCGTTAAAACTCAAAGTTTTCAAATCCGTATCATTAGTTTTCCTTTCATAATTTAAACCGCTTATTAACACAACACTCTTTAACAACCAAAAATCCAAAAAAATATCATTCTAACTCTCTCGCCAAAAATTATGAACAATTTAATAACTGCTTGGCCGCTTGTATCTCACAGCATGTAAGCATAACAGGTCTTTTTAAAAATTAAAAAATATTTATTCTAGTCTCTCTTAAAACACACCCGTAGGGATGCATATACAATAGGAATTAGAACCCCAAAAATTAGTTATTCATTATTCTATTCCTAGTCGTCCACAACTTTTGGATAAATATTGCACGAGTCGTTCTTGAAACTCGAAGATATGTGGTGCACAAAAATATGCCATGCACGCACACCCATTTATGATGAGCAGTCAATTTTGCATAGTATCAATGATGTAAAAACTGCACAAGGAAAATACGTAAACAAAATTTTCTTTTATCCGTAAATCACAATCTCATACGTAAATATGATTAATAACATGAAAACTTTTCATGTTATGATTGTTATAAAGAAAAGATTCGAGCAATGTTCATAAGAGAAATGCTAAGGAGATTCTCTGAATGTATGACTTTTCATGGATTCATTAGCACCTAACAGTTTAGCGTTAATTTTCATACTAACAGTATAAAACATTATGTCAAAAACATAAGGTGATAGAATGTCCATAGAGAGCCTCACTTTTGTTTTGTGAGAGTCTCTTTAGCATTTATCATGTTCTTAATCACAGATTGACATGTAAGTATAAACTTTTCTTCTCGTAATTTCAGTAAGCTACTTTAGTATATGCGTCGGTTCATGATTTGCATATAAATTATGAAAAAATAAAATTTAAAAAAAGTAATATTGGTACCTGAGGACCAAGATGATGAACAAAAAACCCACTAGTAGAGTACCCAACCAGAGCACCAGCAGAAGAGCAGAAACCACAAAGGCTCTGCAAATCCGAAGCCAACGACCGTATCTCAATACTATTCCGGGCTATACACGCGTCGATCGTGACATCAGCAATCGCCACACCTGCCGTGACGCCGATCAACCAAGTCAATGCCACCACAGCAGCCAAGTTCCCACTGAATGCAACCGTGAGAGCTGAAACTGTCCCTATAACTCCGGCCAGGACAAAATAAGGCCGCCTTCTGTATCCCCGACTGGAAAAACGTCGGTCAACAAGCCCCAAACCGGCTTCATGAGCCATGGAATATAGTACAGTCCAATGTAAAGCTGTACAACAGAGGGCTGGAGTTTCTGGACGTCTTTCCAGTAGTAGTCCGTGACCACTTTGAAATAAGAACCTGAGAAGCCCTGGCTGAGTCCGTAAACAAGAACCACACCCAGGACAAAGGTAGGGTTTAGCTCTGAGGAGAGCATTTGGAGCCATTGGATTGGTTGTTGGAGGATTTGGACAAATGGGTTGGTGGGATTTGGATGGTGATGACCGTCTTGATCATCGACGTTTCGGTTTGAGGTGGTTGTTTTCTGGGTTTCTTGAGAGGAGTAATTATCCATTTTTACGCAACGGGGGGAGCTTGGATCTGGGGAAGGAGAGGAGGTGAGACTCTGAAGGGCTCAAAGAAGAAAGTCTAATAGGTGACTGGGAGTCTACAAATTACGAGTGCGTCTTTTATTTATGTAAAAATGGTTTGTTTCCGAGGGGGATTCGAACTCGAGTGGAAAAAACCAGACACACATGTTGAGAAAGTTAATTAATGACCCTACATGAAGTAATAGAGACACACAAGTAGGGCTTGGATGGAATAATAAAACTAGGGAGTTGGTAACTGAGAAGACAAAGTCTGGTTTTGCAGCTTTATGTTTGAAACTTTGAATCATCAGAGAGTATTATATGAATAAAAATGTAAAAGTTCTAAAGACAACGTTTAAGGCAAAGTAATTCAAATTTAAAATGACTCCAAGCTTAATGTGTGACACGAACGGTGAAGGATAAAGTGAGATATGATAAATCATTTTAAGGGTAATTTGGGTCAATACGAGATCGATATATTTTTCGATCAAACTATTATCAGTGATGTCAATGGCATTGCTGCTATATTACTGAAGAATTCGCTATCTTTCTTTATAATACTCTTAATCTTGATGCCGTACTTGTTATTCCTTCTCTTAACTATAATTTATTATCTGTTACTCAAATAACTGTTGCCTATATTGCTTTGCAATTTTTTGGCCTTCCTTTTATAGGACATTCGGACTCGCAAGATAATTGGTTGTGGTATTAGGAAGGGGAAGCTCTACTACTTGGAGACTCAAACTCTATTCGTGGATGGATCTCAGAGGGAGAAGAATAAAGCTTCAGAGGTTTGGTTATGGCATTGTCGACTTGGAAATGCTCCTTTCGGCTATTTACGGAGATTGTTTCCCAACCAATTTGTTAAGCATGATACTTCTAGCTTTAAATATGGTGTTCGTGAACCGGCTAAAAGTGTACTTTGTTTTCGTCCAATTAAAGGTTCAGTTCTATTTATGATAATTCATTATGTATAGGGACCATCTAAAACTGCTACATTTGGTTTTGCTCGTTGTTTCGTTACTTTTATTGATAATTGAACATGTATGACTTGAGTTTAAAGTCCAAAAGTGAAGTTACTTTTCAGCAGTTCCACAAAATGGTACAAATAAAGTAAGTCACAAAAACAGGTTCTCAAGAATGATAATGATGGCGAATATGTGAACTCTAAACTTCGTGCCTTTCTTGATCAAGATGGTATTGTTCATCAAATTACATGTCCATATATTCCACAACAAAATAAGGTTGCAGAACATAAGAACCATCAGCTTCTGGAGCCTGTTTGTGCTTCTTAGCTCGAGGCGCGTCTCCCGTTATCCTATTGAGGAGAAGCTCTCACCTGAACTACGTGTAATCTTGAGATTCGTAGTTTAGTACAATTTTATATAAATTAGCTGTATTGATAGGATTTGTAATATCTTATGAATTCCTCCTTGAGAGATGAATAGAGACACACAACTATTCCAAAACAACACTCTTCTAGGAGTTCCTTGAGTACAAAAGGAAAAAATAAAATAAAATACTTGGCTCGTTCCCTTGGAAGTCACCATTCCTATTAATATGCTAATCAGAGTTTGACACGTACATATGGATAAATTTTTCTATGTGTTTCTAATGAGTTATTTCCATACATGTGCCGCATGAAGGAGGCATGACTCATTCCAAGAAGGCGCCAAGCAGTGTTCAAAGATAAAACTACTGACGCGACGATATTAACTACAAAGCAGTATACAGGGATTTCCGTATACACTCCATCTTCTCTTTACTGGTTGCCGCCGTGCATGTTGTCCAGCTCTTTCGCTCAAGCTGCGACCAGTTTCTGGATATCCTTCTGAAAAATTTTCGACAAAGAATCAGACCGGCAAAACAGAGAAGCTGAGAGCAGTTACTTGTAAAGAGAAAAGGCTTATATATATTTTTTTTTTGTTCATATTCGATGCTCGAGTTACCATGCCGTTTTACTTCAGGTGCACACTAAGCAGAAAATGCACGTCATTTCGGCAACCAATTTTAAGTTTCGTATTTTCAAGCTTCGGTTGTTGAATTCATGTTGATGCTACTAAACTATCGCCTTTTCTTTCTCCGGTACCAGTGAAATTTAGTTCAGCAAACAGACTCAACAAAGCAACTACAAGATATAGTCTCTCGAGATTTACAGGACCATTCCAATTAGCATCAGTGGTAAAACAAAAATATTGGCCTTTATCATTCGGTAAGTTTCATATTTGATCAAAACAAAAAATGGGCTGTTACGAGGACAGGAGACCTGAAAACTATTTCACTTTATCAACATAATAGCGTAAATTCGAGTCTTGCTTGACCACCAAATCAAGAAGTTCCCTGATTCTAATCGAAAGCTTGAACAAGGATAAATGTAAGTTCCAAAATGCGGTCAACGTCTAGAAACATAATTCTAGAAAGCTAGGTTCCACCAAATCATCAAGTTCCCTAACATTTTCTTAGGAATCAATGAATTTACAAACCAAAATAAACAAGGAAATTCATACCTCAATTTGAAAAGGGGATGTTGTTGGTGGGTATCTCTCAACAACTTTTCCATTATTGTCCACCAAAAACTTCTCAAAATTCCACTTGATAATGTCACCTAGAAAACCTCCTGCACTTGATTTCAGAAACTGGTAAACTGGAGCTGTGCTGGGACCGTTGACATCAACCTGTAATGCATTCTTAGTACTTCAAACACCCATATCCGTGAAAAAACAAAATTTCCAATAAGAAAGTAATGGATGGAAGACATGCAGTTAAACTCTGCACCTTGTCAAAAATCAGGAATTCGGCTTTAAACCTTGTACAAGCAAACTGCTTGATTTCCCCATTTGATCCGGGTTCTTGGCCCCCAAACTGATTGCAAGGGAAAGCTAGAATCTCAAATCCTGCAAACCAGCAACTATTACCACCTTAGCAACTAAAAAAACAAATTCTCAATTAAAAAACTTTTGCTACAATGTTTCGTGGTCAAAGACGAACAAATACAGCACATATGAAAGCTAATCCTCCTCGCACACACCCACCTTGATCACCAAAAAGAAGGTGACTTGTGTGACAAGAAAAAGCACTCATCCTTAAGGATCTAACTCCAGAAATAATCCAAAGGATCTCAAAAATGCATATATCGAATCTAATGCAGATTTTTGCGGAGAAAAAACTGTTAAGGAAACAGAAAAACAAGAATTTCGCGCAGTTGCAGAATACCTTGAGGTTTGTACTTCTCATACAAGTGTGACAGTTCTGAGTAATTTGAAGAAGTCAAGCCACTGAAATTCAAATAAACAAGTTTTGGTCAATTCACAAGCATCTCAAACTTTCAGTCTTCCACACAGAACTTCCGGAAAATTCGATTTACATATAAATAAATAGTTCAAACTCAATAAAGAAAATAATACCCATCTTGAAGCAACATTGACAACCAAAAGAACCTTCCCCTTGAACTTGCTAAGAGGAACATCCTTACCATCAATATCCTACATTAACAAAATTTCAGACATTAGTAAAGGTTGCTCCTTTGTACCGAAAGGTAACGGGTTTGAGTCGTGAAAACAGCCTCTTTACAAAGCTCGGATAAAACTACGTACAATAGACGTTTCCTTGCAAAGAAGAGCGTTTTTGGCTTGGGATCGACCCAGACATTAGTGAAAAAGAAAAAACCAACCACCTAGTACAAATTTTCTAACTTCAGATTTGATTCTCTTGAACTTACAACATTACATGTATAAAAATCACCAAAAATCCCAGAAACAAAACTAAAAAACAACATAATTTCATCAAATAATTAGGGAAAACGACAAAAGAAGCATTCTTTCAAGGAAATATTATTATTTTATATAATATATATACACACGCGCGCGCGCGAACACATACCTTGACAGTGAAATCATAGAGAGACCTTTCTGTAGCTGCTCTAGCATAAACACCGAAAGACCGAGATTTGATCAAAACCCCATTAAAATTCTCCGATTGCAAAGACAACCCATTTCGGAAAAGTGCTGATTTAGAAGACCCAAATGAGGATTTGATCCAGCACGCCATGGGAGGGCATGAAGCTGAAGAATTCGAGCTTATTTTTGCTTTTGCCTTTGAAAAACTCTGTGGAGGTGTTGAAAAAGTTGCAGAGAAGGACATGGAAGCCATTGTTTTGCTGGTGGGGACTTTGGAACTCGGTAGAAATATGGGACTGGTAAGCCGTAGTGCTCTTCCCAATATATAGCTCGTCGTGTGAATGTGAGAATCTCTGGACTCCCAAAGTCTTCCTTCTGTGGAAGGAGTTTCCACACGTGGTTTTTATTTATATATTCATTTGAGTCGTATTATACCACATTTTTATAGGTCTCCGATATGAACAGCCATATTATTTGAAAATTTTGTAAAATTCAAGAAAATGAAAACGAAAAATTCATCATATACTACAATCATCATTTAATTAACTAGTTTTTCTTAATTATTAGTTTATTAAATAATGAACTAAATTTAAAAATTTGATTAATTCAAATGATATGATTGTCCACATCAAATACCACCTAAGATGATATGAAAATATGGTACAAAAATATGAATAGCATTACTCTATTCATTTTTAATTAAGTGGTTGTGTTTCTTTTTCGGATGATTTGCGTTTGGTTTTTTCTAGTTATTTCTCATCCTTTTTGGTGTTTAATTAGGTCTAGCGGCACCTTGTGATTATATTACGGTAAAGTGATAGTTTTTTAATGTTAATAAAATGTTTCATATATTTTTTTAAGAGTTTATGAGAAATTTTAGTCATATCAAACGTTTAATATTGACCCTACGTAAGAATCTTAATCCCTCACCTTGAACATACCATAGTTTTTATTGTTTTTCAAGATTTTTTTTTTTTGAAAAAATGATCAGTTGATGGTCATCACGGTGGTCTACTATTTCGAGGACTAAAAAGACTCATATAGGCATTTTTTAACTTCTCCTTAGCACCAATGAAATCGAACACAAAAGGTGTCATGTGAAATACTAGTCTAGACGTTTCCAACCACTGAATCATCCTGTGATGATTTTTTTTTTCAAGTTGTTTTTAATTTGTACATACATGGCGGCTTATGAAATTTTCACATGCAAATGAAATTTATATGTGGACGTTGAGTTTAAAGGTAAAATATTTTGGAGGATTGTAATGTGATGAAAACTATTTAATTGTTTTATTGACAATGTGAGAGATTCGAACTTGATTAAATAAAAGTATTAGCCGATCATTTATATATAATTGATAATTAAAACTAATTAAATAAAAATAACATTATCACCTCAATTTCAAGTCAATTTAAGAAACGTTTTGATTGGATTACCTAAAATTCAAGTCAATTTAGGGAACGTATTGATTGGCCAATTCAATACTACACTATTGGCATGTTTCCTTTCTTTTTCTTCCTCTCCTAGTACAAGAGGGAAGGAAAATATGGAAACTCAATGCTACAAAAGCAAGAATTCGGATCCTCGTCATCTTTTCTTGGTAAAGATCTCATGAATTCATGAATCATATCCGTTTATCGTATATCGTACTATCATAAATTATTTTAAATATTTTTATTTAAAATTAAATACAAACAGTACATGACAAAAACTGATCGCATGATGTACAATAAAACGTACATGATTTACAGATCTCTAAGATCCTTGCCAAAAGGATCTGGAGAGGATTGGCAAAAGTAAAATAAAAATTTATTATCAAAATAAAAAATCTAAATTAGTTTGGAAAATATTTAATTAATTAAGTAAGTATCTTGAAGGAGACAAAAATTTTAAAGAACAATGTTATTTTGGAAAGCTTTTATTTTTACCATAGAAGGTCTAATTTCTAAACCAGGAAAATAAATATTTTCAGCAAAAAGTAAAATAAAAATAAAAATTATATTAATTGAAAAAAAAACTTAAAAATAAATTTTAGTGCCACAATAAACAAAGTGTAATTTGCACATACACCATCTAGACTCTTTAGTGCAATGACCTACGGAATAAATACCTTTTATGATGAATCACTAAACTTGTAATGTGTAACATGACGTTAAACATTATGTTAATTGATAACATCAACAATAAGTGACTCAAATTTTTGCTGACAAGAAAGCCACATTGATATCACATAAACACAACAATTCCACAATCAATAATTTAAGACTTTGCTACATGTAGCAATGTGCGACGTGAAGTCAATAAACTGAAGAAATTTTTTTTTTCCTTGAAATAAAAAAGAACGTAGAAACTTTTTTTTTCGATGGCATTAAAATTGAATTACATTTACCTAAGCTATTTTTTGTTGGAATGTTTGACCTCAATCCACAATCCCTTATTCATTTTTTACACATTTATCTTAATTTTTCGTCGTCGAATTAGATGAATTAAAAAAAATAAAGAATAAAAAGTAACAAAAAATATGTAGAAAGTAAAAATAAAACTGTGCAAATACAACTTTTCGTAAATACGTCATGTGACGAAAAATGTGTAAATACGTTTCGGGAAAATTTAAGCGTTAAAATATTTTGTAAAATAAATAGGGTTTGCGTTTCTGTCTCTCTTCCCTATTCGGAGCGCGCTGCTGCGAGAGAAGAGATTGCACGCCGACTCTCTCTGCACATACAGATATAGAGAGAGAGAAACCCTATCCACCGTTCCAAACGCCCCCTTTCCCTCCTCTCCCTCTCTCTTCTTCCCAGTCGCGCGACTGCAATCTCTTCCGCTTATCTAGTCGGAAAAGAAAAATCGACGGCGGCGAGTTATGATGGCGGATCCAACGTTGATAAGCTTAAGACCTGGCGGCGCCGGCGGCCTTCGTGCCCCCAGATTCCTCACGGCTCGCTTCGATTCTAACTCTTCTGATGCTCAGGCTCTCCCCTCCCATGCCGGCCTCGCTTCCGCCTTCAAGGTCCCTCCTTACCCTAGCTCCTCACTCACCTAAAAATATTGTATTGTGTATGTGTATTTGTATTTGTATGTATATATGTGTATGTATATATGAATGTATAAGGGATCAGTGTACATATTTGTATTTTCGAATGTGTTTTGCTTGTTCTGTAGATCTGGTACTCTGGAGGTTTAATAAATTCGAAGACTTTCTTTTTCTCTTGTTTGTGGTGGATTTCCGATGTCGAGATTTGAATTGTATGCGCTTTGTTTTTGAATTCCATTATTGGTTGGAGAAAATTGAAAGTGAAGTCATTGTAAAAATTGGATCTTCAGTCATTATTCCGTTAAATCCTCAAAAAGTAGGCTTTTTTGTAATCCTAGACCAAAATTTTACTTTCAGATGCTTAGAAAAGGAGTTCGTTGTCGAAAGAGGGTGAAATTGATATTTTTAGATTTAAACGTCCTAATTCTTGGCAGGGCTCTCAAGAATGTGTACCAGCTGTAAATATGGACGAAGAGTTCTATGTCGGGTTTTTAGGTGGGCTTGCAATGAGTCTGCAATGCCCATAAAGGACCGGCATTACATTTTAAGTGTCTTAAGTATAATGTTGGCTTATGTTTGTTGAGAAATTTTTTAGTGTGCCGGGAACACGGCCCGTTACACCAAGTGTAATAATATATTTGGTTGGAATTTTTTTTCTTCAAGTTTCCAACCAATTGCATTATTACACTTGGTGTACACGGCACACTGAAAAATCTCTCATGATTGTTGATTGTGATGTGTAACGCATACATGTGGATAATTTAATGTGTTTTCACTTTAGAATACAGATGTTCGTTATGCTCGGTCACACATGCCATCCTCACTCTTCATCGATAACATATTTCTTATGTGTGTTCGCGTTTTTATTTCTATTTTGAGGTGTATAGTTCATTTACCGAGGATTACCATTCGTATGTTTCAACACTTATAACTGTGTTCTTGTAACAGACTGGTGACATGCGGTTTGAAGGTCATGAGCGAGTTCGATATACTAGGGATCAGCTATTGCAGCTTAGGGAGGTACTATTGTGATCACTTTTCTTTATAGCTACTATTGTTCTTTAACTATGTTATGGAGCACTAAAAAGATAGATAGAATATTTCTTAGTATCTATCCTGGAAGGTGGGGATGATAGTGTTTTTCTTTTATGACGATCTTACCTTTGGTATAGGAGGCCACTACTATCCCTGAAGAAATTTTGAAGGTTAAACGAGAAATAGATGTTGAGTTTGCTATAGAGGATCCTACTTGGGGTCGTGCAGATACTACCAATGTGAGTATACTTACCATTCACTTCTACCATGTAGCTGTGTTATTTACCTGGACTGAAAACTCATCAATATCAATTTTCACAGTTCCATGCAATTGGGTACTTTCAAATAAATTTTTCATCCTATAATTTTGTAGTCCGGTATACTTATTTTTTCTCTATATGTTTTTAGGAATTCTATTTCTAACTTTTACTTCAATTTTCTTTAGCTGCAACCTCAACCCCAAGGTCGATATTCTGAGCCAGATAACCGTGATTGGCGTGGTCGATCTGCACCTGCTTCTGAAGAGCATAAAAAGGAATTCAATAACCAGCAGGACCAACCAAATTCCCAGTTTGGAAGGGCACAAATTTCTGGTAACCAAGGGGTAATAAGTTATTATCCGATTGTGTTAAGGATATAAATGGTGTACTGCTGATCAACTTTGTTACTCTTAAGATTCTATATTTCCCATGCTGTACTGCAGATCAACTTTGTTTACCTCTTCCTGGTTACTTGACCGATAAAATAATTACCAGCAAAGTAGTACGTGAGGCATGTTATTTGTAACTTGAAGTCTTGGATGAATTTATATCAAAATTTGGGATGTCATTGAAGAATAATGTGTGTTTCAGTTGTTTGATGGTTGTTAATCTTGATTTATCTTCATACTCAGTGAGGGATCATTGGCTGGTATATATAATTAGCTATCAAAGGTTACTTCCGGAAGCTAGTAATAGCAGGCACTAGGCACCAAAATGTTGGCATGTATTTTGTATTGCTTATATATCTTCGAATTATTTTTCTGTTTCATTAGATGTTTCCTTATTCAAGCTTTTTGAAAAAAACCAGGTGGGACCTGCTCCTGCCCTCATTAAGGCAGAAGTTCCATGGTCAGCTCGAAGAGGAACGCTTTCTGAGAAGGATCGTGTCTTGAAGACAGTGAAAGGGTAATTAATTATCTGATTTCTATCAGCTGGTGGATTTGCTTGCATTATCTGTTCAACATTTTAAAAGGATGCAATTTAATAGAAGCTAGAACAGGTTTTTTTTTGTGCAACTGCTTGTTCTATCTGATTATCTTATTAAAAGTGTTCTAATTTTTGTGCAGTATACTGAACAAGTTGACCCCGGAGAAGTTTGACATTCTCAAGGGCCAACTGATTGATTCTGGAATTTCCACTCCAGATATTTTAAAGGTTTGTATTAACTAAATGTCTTTGAATACTTCTTACTCCATGCTTAGATATTACTTTCCTGCTAATGAGCTTGAGGATTCAATTTGAATTGCAGGATGTAATCTTTCTGATTTTTGATAAGGCTGTGCTGGAGCCAACATTTTGTCCTATGTATGCGCTTTTATGCTCAGATCTTAATGCAAAGCTTCCTCCTCTCCCTTCTGAGGAGGCTGGAGGGAAAGAATTCACATTTAAACGTGTTCTGCTGAATAATTGCCAAGAGGTTTTTGAAGGTGCTGACAACTTGAGGGCAGAAATTAGGCAGATGACTGCTCCTGAGCAAGAAATGGAATGCAGAGATAAAGAACGAATGCTTAGGTTGCGAACTTTAGGAAACATACGGCTTATTGGAGAACTATTAAAGCAAAAAATGGTGCCTGAGAAGATTGTTCACCATATTGTTCAGGTTCTTGCTAGTGTTCATTCACTTTGTATTATTATTTTTTGTATAGGAATTTGACTGCTGGACTAACTCTGCACTTTTGTCTAACACAGGAGCTTCTGGGTGATGGCAAAACATGCCCTGCTGAGGAGAATGTGGAGGCAATATGCCAATTTTTCAACACCATAGGTAAGCAGCTGGATGAGAACCAAAAGGCTCGGCGAATCAATGATAGCTATTTTAATAGGTTGAAGGAGCTGACTACGAACACCCAACTAGCATCACGGTTGAGGTTCATGGTCCGTGATGTTCTTGATTTGCGGTCTAACAACTGGGTCCCTAGGCGTGAAGAGGTGATTTTCCATACCCTTGTCATTTCTTTTTTTTTTTTTGGTAAAGAGTTAACCATAGAAAGCATTGTGGTACACTGTAGTGGGATTTGTGTATCTGACTTCTGTTTTTCTGTCTCTTTTTTGGAAGGTGAAAGCAAAGACCATTAGTGAAATCCATTCAGATGCAGAAAAGAATATGGGGTTGCGTGCAGGTTCGACAGCAATGATGAGAAATGCTCGCAATGCTGCTTCCCAGGGGGATTTGAGCCCAGGAGGTTTTCCTGTTACCAGGCCTATGCCTGGAATGCCCGGGACTAGGAAAATGCCAGGTATGCCTGGTCTTGATAATGACGATTGGGAGGTCTATCGATCCCGTTCAATGACCAAGCGTGATGGTTTGGGGTCCCAGTCTGCCAGTCGTGTCCAGCCACCGTTGATTAGCAAAACACCTTCTCTCAATTCAAAATTTTTACCTCAAGGCAGTGGTGGCATAATAGCTGGGAAAACGAGTGCCTTATTGGGAGCTGGTGGTCCTCCTTCCCGAGTAGAACCTTCTACTCAAAATCCCAAACCTGTTCCGGCTGCATCACCAATTCCAGCCAAGAAACCTCTGGCTCCTGCAACTGTATCAGATTCTTCCAAGCCTTTGGCTCCTGCAGCTATATCAAATCTTGCTGTTCTACAAAGGAAAACTGTATCTCTTCTGGAGGAGTATTTCAGTGTTCGGATTCTCAATGAAGCACTTCAATGTGTGGAGGAGCTGAAAGCCCCAGCTTACCATCCAGAGGTTGTCAAGGAAGCTATTAACCTTGCTCTGGAAAAGATCCCACCATCTGTAGAACCTGTTATAAAGCTCCTAGAGTTCTTGGTCAATAAAAATATGCTGACATCTGTTGATATAGGAACCGGGTGCCTTCTTTACGGGTCAATGTTGGATGACATTGGCATTGATTTGCCAAAAGCGCCAACTAATTTTGGTGAGATTCTTGGGAAGTTGGCTCTGGCGAAGGTGTTGGACTTAAAGGTTGTGATGCAAATTCTGAAGAAGGTGGAAGATGACATGTTCCGGGCAGCCATCTTTGGGACTGCTAAGAAGAGCATTGCATCCAGCCCTTCCGGGCAGGAATTTTTGCTTACCCAGGAAACCGTGGTCCAGGCATGTGAGAGTTTGCTTACCTGATTCATGCTAGTTTCAGTTGACGTGGGAAAGCTGTGTGGCGTTGGGCTTCCGAGGGGGTGGAGCAGTAGCTTGCATCTTCCCCTACATATTTTTGAAACTTTTATCAACCGATAATTTTATTCAGTTGTATATCTCTTTTGGGGGGTTTTAGTTCAAGTTTTGTTCTTTAAGCTGAGAAACATGATGTCTTGAATTCCTCTCGAGCTCGGGTTAATTTTTTTCCCGGGAACAATTGAGACGGAATAGGATCTTGACAATCGTTTTGTTAAATTAGTCTTGCATTCTGTGTACCAATTACTCTTGATTTTGTACCTGGCCGGTATGTGTGGCCTTAAATTTTCTCTATGGATATTGTAATCAGTTGATCTTCTAGCTTCATTACCTTATTGTTTGACCTCTTTGATAGCCCCCGTTTCGCCCCGAAAAGCCATTGTGAGTTCTGGATGTTGAGATGGCTTCTGTGACCTGCAACTTCACTTCCCTCTCGCCATCATCCGGTGGTTCGGACCAGCGAAGTTGGAACCAAATTGCAAGGAATCAGGTGGTGAAGCGGAACGTGGAGCATGCATTTCAATCATACATTGAGATGCAGAAACTTGGTTTCTCTGCTGATAACTACACATTTCCCCTTCTGCTCAATGCAGCAGGTAATACTTCTTTGCGTATCGGGTTAACGCTCCATGGCCGGACAGTTAAAACCGGTTTCTGCGACCATCTTTTCGTCCAAACTGCTTTGCTGAAAGACTCCTTGTTAATGCTCGTAAGGTTCGATAAAATGCCCGAGAGAGATGTGGGAGCCTGGAACTCCATGCTAGATGTGTATGCTTCTAGCGGCCAGATGGATAACGCAATGGAAATTTTCGATACAGTGCCGTCACAAGACCTTGCATCCTTCAGTATAATGATCTCCGGGTTTGCAGGCGCACGAAGCGTAACCTCTGCCAGAAGTATTTTCGATCGAATTCCTGAGAAAGATGTTGTCTCATGGAACGATGATACTGGCGTGCATGAACGGTGGAGACACGGCTGAAGCGGGAATGCCAGAGAGAAATGTCGTAACTTGGAACACAATGATAATGGGTTACTTAAACAACCAACTGTAGACCAACGCTATTGATTTGTTCTATGAGACGTCAAACCCGAGTATCTGACTGTGACCGGCGCTTTATCTGCCCGCGTTCACTTGGGATATCACCCGAAACAGGCGTAAAGATACACATACACTGAAATTCTTGAGCAGGCATCGAGTCCCCATCTGATAACCGCGCCGATAGACATGTATGCTAAGTGTGGAAGCATACACAACTCCTTAGAGGTGTCCTACAAGTCGAAAAACAAGGACATCTACTGCTGGACTGCCCTAATTTCCGGGCTCGCGCTTCATGGTTTTGGGTACGCTGTTCTGAAGCTCTTCGACCAAATGAGAGAGAACTGCATTAAACCAGATGACATCACCTTCATTGGGGTTTTAAGTTCTTGCAGCCATGCAGGTTTGGTGAAGGAGGGATGTGAAATCTTTTAAGCGGAGCCGGGCTCTTTGACTCGGCGCTGCACCTCGTCGAGAGGATGCCGCTTTGAGCCCGGCAAGTCGGTCTTGGGTGATCTGCTTAGTGCTTGTGTGATTCACCAGGACCTTGAAGCTGGGGAGAAAGCTATGGAACTTCTTGTGAAAAGGGGTTGTTGCTTGAGCGATGGGGAACACATGATGTTTTCTAACTTGTATGCATCTTGTGGTCAATGGGAAGAAGCAGGAAGAAGGAGAAATATGATGAACGGTTTAGGAATTGTTGAAGTCGAAATCAATGGAAGGTTTCACAAGTTTTTGGCTGGGGAAGGTTGGTGTTGAGTGAGGTTTACACAAACCCTAGCTGCAATAAGAATCTCAATATTAGTAGACATGGGTTAGGTCAATTAGCCAGGATAGTTTGTGCTCTTCAATGTGTCTGAATTCAATACCTTTTATGACAATATCGTCTAGTAAATCAAATCCTAACTTAGGCATTTGACTTACATCAATGCTAATACATCATCTTCCCCTAAGCCATACCAAAAAGACCCAAATTTGACTCATGAGTCACAGTTATAACCGTCAATACTTCAGATCAGTTGATGAGAAATTTCAAGTCAAGTGATAAGAGAGATAGATAAAAGAGGATGATTCAGTCAGTTATAAGACAAAAGTTCACTTTCATGACATAACATGAGGAGAGATTTCAAGTCACATCATTAAAAAGATAAACATAATATACAATACAAACGATCGCAAGACAAATTCTGGATTTTGGTGGGATAGTTTTGAGTAACTTAGCTGCCATGGATGACCCTTTTAGCCATGAACAATTTGGGGTGACTAAGGGCTGGTTTGGTATTGCTATGCTTTGAAAAAAAACTACTACTGCTGTGCTGTGAGAATAAACTCGTTTTTTTATACTCATTTTTTATAAAAACACATCAGCACCAAACCAGGACTCAAACTACCAGCAGTGTATTTAGCCCTAAAATTTGAGGACTACAAGTTCCCATATAGATTTGTGCCAGCAGTAATCAATGTGGAATAAATTTATCTGCACCCACCAGTTGGAACAAAGAGATCCTTTACAACCTGCCCCAGAAGAACTTTGACGATTTTGAATAGCTAATTATCCTACACAATATCCCTTTTTAAAAATTGTTTAATCAGATTCTGGTTATTAGGGATTTTTTTTTTAATTTTCTTCTAATCATTAAATAATCGCCACCCTCTCACGGACGCGAAGAGGGCGAAGAAGATAAACGCGGAGGGAAAGAGATGAAATGTACGAGAGAAACTTACCTATAGTTTAAACTATCCATAATATTATATTATCAATCCAAAACAATACAGGTGACGTTTTTAAAATAAGAGTGTATGCAAGTCCTTATTGCAGTATACACATTGGGTTGCTAGGACATTTGGTATCCTATCATATCTTTTGTCCAAAGTTGATCTTATCGTCTATAAACCAAACAATTAAAGCTTAAAGAATCAGTTAAAAAAAATTTGAAACTTTAGAAACACTTGAAATTGAAATTCTCTTCGGATCACATTTGGAGCTCACAAACCGAGCAATTTAGGCCGTTCAAGAGAGAGAGAGAAATAAGAGTGTTGGAGAGAGATTGTGTGTGAAGCTGACTAGTGAAATGAGTTAATAAGAACATCATGACTTAAATTGAACAGTCCAAAATTACTAGGTCCATAAGCTTCGAAATGTGAAATTCAGCGAGGATCTGAATCCCACGTTAAGAGACCAACTTATACATTTATACAACGACATAATGAGTAGCGTTTGAATTACACTTTGATAAACTTTATTTTGCATGTTCCGAGGACTAGAATTTTACCAATTTCATGCTATCCCTTTCCTTGCCTCTGAAAAAATTGGGAAAATTTTTTCTTGTGCCCGTAACACAAGTGGTACAGCACGTGTTATTAAATAAGTGGTGGAAAATGTTATTTTTCACGTTATTACTTTTTTAATACAAGAATCTCACCACTTGTACAAGGACACGTGGTGTACCAGCCCGTGTTTTGGCCACATTGAAAAATCTCTCAAAAATTGATCTATACAATTATTATAATGATTGATTATTATTAGTGCTATACTTAGTGATAGATGCTCTTGTTTCTCCAAAACCATATGATAATGACTCTTTCAAAAGTGAGACTCTCTATAAATTCTCTATCACTTCATGTTTTTGACACAATGTTTTATAATGTTGGCTCTAGAATTGATGTCAAACTGTGAGGTAATAAAGAATCTATAAAGAACCACTTTTGAAAAAATCCCCGTAACATTTCTCTTCCCCAAATATTAAATATAAAACATGTCACGAGTTCAAATATCATAAACAAAATTAACTACGTCTAAATGCGCGGTTTTGATTAACAATTTGATACTGCACAACGTAGTGAGTATTTGGTCCGTTGGAGGAAAACTAAAACATGGATGTGATTGTATGCTTCTCCTTAACTTCTACTTTTATGGATTTTGAGCGTTGTTACGCGCACGAAGTGAACAACGATGTATACATTCGGCTACAAAGTAAAATCTTTTCTTTCGAGAAACCCTACTTTTCTAAATGAGAAGTGCTACGAACCTTCTCACTTACGTTTGCATTTCAGTTTTTTTACTTTTCTTAATACCACGTGTACTCCATTAGCACTCAACATTAAAATTTTTACTATATTAAAATTATATTATTTTATTCCTTTGTTAATGTAATTGAATTTAGTTTTCATGCTAGTAGCATATATGTGGCATGAGTAGCAGTGAGAAAGTTGGTAGCACTCCCATTTCTAAATTTGAGATCAAATCTTGTGCACCTAAAATAGGTGTTGCCTCTTTGTGGCCTCAATCATTATTTGACACATATTAAGTTTATGACAACAGAGCTGAAAAAAGTTAAGTTTATAAACACGTGTCAGTCAATGATAGAGGTCATAAAGAGGCCACACCCATTTTGGGTGTAGAAGATTTGGTATCTCTAAATTTTGAGTATGAGAAATGCTAAGAAGACTCTCTCAAAGTGAAACTTTTCATAAACTCTCTGTCACCTCATAGTTTAACGTTAATTTTCGTGTCAACATTATAAAATATTATGCTAAAAACATGAAGTTGCAGAAATAGTCACTTTTGCATGAGTCTTCTTCACATTTCTATTTTGATTGTGACACGCAACGAGTAAGATACAGACAATGTACGCACTCTCGTTCCCTCGACGCTAATCGAAAGACATGGATGGGGTTAGATCCGCACTTACGTTTACAACTTGCCATCCACATGTTCTCAACGAAAAACGACAGCCAATTACTAAAAACATGTTAGGTTATTGGCATATTTAAGGGGTTGGGACCATAAGAATTCAGCAGTCCAGTGACAAACTGACGTCGATGTCATACCGAACTCTACCTGTGACTTGACTTTTATCTATCTTTTTAATGAGGAGAAAATGATGCATGGTTCATTTGCACAAGAATTGTTTGGATGATGTGTTACACTATTTGCACAGGGGCAGACGTATAGGAAATGTTTGGATGATGTGCTAATCCATGCAACATGTCAGATCAGTTAAGTTGGCTAAAACATTGTGTTACACTCCTTGCATTCAGTGCCAGATGTATATTGAGAGGTAATCTTCCGAGAACAGTCTAAATATTTGGTACGGGTCTCTTTTCTGCCCACCGAGTTGATGAAATGACTATCACAAGTTGCTTCAAGAAGCCTAATAAATTATTTCAATAGCACTCATCAGATTGCATCGCATGTGTCAATACTTGTTGACATGTGTGTAGTTTGGTTCGGCTACTAACACAAGCCCACCAAATGTTCAATTAAATACCTTAGTAAATAAACTGAATTTTTTTGCACACTTCCCTCTATTTCTATTTAAAAAACTTCAATCGTTAACACAAGACTCCCAATTGAATCTTGAATCCGCTGCTGCTTGCCTAAGTTCGATTTTTTCTAAACAATAGAAAAATGGAATGCCATCCAAGGGAGGTGACCTTGTTCATCAACGTTGTTCCTACTTTGGGTAACATTATATAAATAACATAATCGTTCCAAGCGAATAAATTATTTGGCAATTGACCGAAACGTATAATGCTTGAATACACAAAAACGTGAAGTTATTTCATTGTATAGTGAAAGCCACCAGCTGCATGTGGCTTAGAAATGCCTACAAATGGAAGGAAAGTTCGAGGCCTTTGTTTTGTTTGCTAAGAAATGCTAAGGACTAAACAACGAGGTTGGCTATTACCTCATGTTTTTTGTATAATTTTTTTGATGGCGAGGTGCTGAAAATATATGTCCAATTACTAATTTATGAGTTGAGATCTTTTTCGAATCTGTGTTTTGTGTCAACGGACTTGGAAATTCGGACCACTTATTTTAAATTTTACGGCCCTCATTAGCCTATTCTACTGATCCACCTCACATAAACCAAGGGTTCAGATCTTTTTTTTCCTCTTCAACGATCCGTATCTCTGCATATTTGGACTCCTTATTGTTTAAAAATTTCTTCATGATGCTACGTGATGATGACTTGCCTACAAATGGAAAGAGTTTTTTTTTGCTTGTTTAATTGTTTGTTTGTTTGTTTGTTTTTATGTTTAAGTGGGGGAATTTAATTGTCGAAATTATTTCATACATTTGAAACTTCCTACTTCCATGAGATCGAAATTTTTAGTCATATTATTAGTTGTATATACAAAAATTTCTCCATGGTGCCACATGACCTACGAATGCTCTCCAAAATGCAGAAAACAACTTTCCTTCTCTGTTAAACAAATTATGAATATTTTTATTTTTATTTTTATTATTTTTAAAATTAGTTAGTGTTTTCATCACGACAGTCCACCGTGTCTGGGGTTGAGAAGGCTTATAGAAGCATTTCAACCTCTTATGACCATCATTACATGTTTCATCAACGTCATAAACCGAACTCAGAACGGACTGTATGAAATATGGGCCTACAAAATGGTTTTGTTGCATGTATTAGTGGGTGGTTTAATAGGAAATTAATTGATAATTATCTATGTGCTGCCAGCTACCTGATTTAGAAATGCCTAAAAATGGACCATTTTTGCGATGAGTCATTTTCTCGTTGTTTTTGGTTATGCGCCGTATTTATAAGTCGGTGATTAATAGTTTAACAAATTTTTGCTTAGTCTTTCTGCCGACAAAGCCAAAAACTTGAAATACATTAGAAACTCCAAACGTCCAGTTCTTGGGAAATAGAAAGTGATTTTTTCAGAGAAATTCTAGGCTCATATTTTACACGGTGAGTTTTGAGTTCGATTTTTGACGTTGGTATCATACGAGAATGGGCAAGAGAGAATGAAATGCCTATGTGAGATCCCGACTTTCGAAAATGCAGACTATCGTGATGAAACTGCTAATCGATTCCCTTCAAAATTAAATAGAAAGTGATTTTTATCTGCATTTGTTTTTGCTCATGTTTTTGTTTGTATCTTCTGAGGGAATATGATAAAATATCGAGATAAAATCAAGCAAAGAAAAATGAAAGGGGTAAAAATTAGAGTAATTTCACGAGTTACAAGATTTCTTGCAAATTTTTACATGAGATTGAATTAATGTACCAACAAAATTAAAAATGGACACTGCTATTCATACACTCTAGTAAAGAAGCTACATGTGCCCGAGAAAAAAGGCGACTTGAGAAACACTGTTTAACTTTATACTTTTTTTTTTTGAACTAATGATATTATCTACATTAAGGGGGTGTGGATTTAACCTTACAATAAGCTAGTAATAACGTGGGTTAAATTCATCTGTGGCGAGAATCGAACCTAAAACTTCTTACCTCATAAGCGAAGAGAAATGTCGTTCGATGTAGTACTAAATATCTGTTTGATTTCGTACTTAAAAACACAAGAAAAAATACACAAAATTTCTTACAAAAGAAAATATAAATTACCCGAGATAGAAAAACGGTTAACGGCTTGAATAAAAAGAAGTAATAAAATCCCAAAACTGCCCAATTTATTTCCTCTTAAGAAAACCACGAAAAGTCCATGAAGAAGTTGATGAACAGTGTGAGCAGAAGAAATTACCCAAATTTCAAACGAGATCATTCTGTCTTCCAATAAGTCATCATCTTCACTTTCTCCTCCGATAATTTGCTCTTTGACTCTCTCTCCTCTTTCTCTCTCCATCCTCTGCCATTCCTGAAGAATTATTGTCACTCTCTCTCTCTACTCTTTCATCCCTCCTCTTGCCTGTTCGTTTTCTCTCAGATTCCGTCAAAACTTCGCTCGCCGGCTCTTTTGTCAAACCTCTGCAAAACCCACTTCTCCACAAGCCCCAGCAACCATTCTTTCTGCTCTTTCTTCCACCTCCGATTCTGATCTGTTGCTCTAAACGGACTTTCCCCCTGGGCATGTTAAGGACCCTCAAGCATCTCAAGTGATACTATTCTCCATGTAAAAGTTTCTTCCTTGGCTTCATTTCATTAATTTTCGTGCAAATTGGCATCTGGGTTTTTCTTATTTATGGTTAATCTTGAATTTTTTAATGTTTTTTTCCCGTTTGAATGTAAATTTTGCTTCATTTGATATGGGTTTTTCTCGTAATTTGTGCTTTATATGATCTTGGTGGTTTCCCGATTATCTTTCATAATTTCCAGTCCAATTTTTGCTTAAAGTTTGTGAATTTAATTCCTTAATCTGACTTTTTTGCTGCTTTTGAATATTTAGATCATTTGATCGTTACTTAGTTAAGTTTAATACTGGCGGATTGGCTGTGATCGAATTGATCCGGTCTCGAATAGTGTGGCATGTGAGATGATAACAGACTAACATAGGAAGAGTAGTTGATACATCTGTGGTTGATTTACAAATTTTGGCAAATCCTTGCCATTTCTTTGGTTTCCTTGTGATTTATATCTATCTTCATAACCAAATAGCGATACCTTCGTAACTTGGTTTCTGGCTAATCTAGTTTTTCAGCATTGAATTGTGGATTAAAGTTTTTGATTGAGTTTTTATTTAATTTCAGATTGGAATGGGTACATATCTGAGCACTCCTAAAACTGAAAAGTTCTCGGAAGATGGCGAGAATGACCGTGTCAGATATGGTTTGTCGTCCATGCAAGGATGGCGTACCACAATGGAGGATGCTGTGAGTACATTTAACTTTCCTCTTCCTCTCAGAAGTTGTTTTGAGAACATAAATTCTTTTATTTCCATTCTCAGAAGTTTATACTTTTGTATCCTTTTCCGTCTTTATTTAGCATGCTATAGTTAGGATTCAACTGAATATGATATTCCTTGACATGTTCAATTGATTGCATAACTCTAATTCCACTTGGCGGATTATTGCTGTCCTTTTAATTAGGATAGAAGTCAATTATCTTGTGGCATATGATGGTGCAGATAGAGGGTTGGGCGTGGCTACTCCTTGCTTGTAGCCTGGTAGTTTCCCGTGGTCTGTTTATTTGACTAGCCCGATTGGTGCCTTCTGCTTGTTGTAGAAATAATCCGGACTGTGGGAGTAAGTAGTACTTTACAAAAACTGTTACTTGCTTCCCCAATTGGTAGAAACCATCCCACTTGGCTTTTCAAAATCTAGTTCTCTCTCTTTATACGAAATCCTTTCCTTGTTTACTTTTCCTGATAAATTGTTGGAAAATAAACTCTCCTCCATTTATAAATTTTTTGCATCCTGTATAAGAGGAAGTTGCAGTGATTACTTACTTTGTTTTCAGAAAATCGTGTCACATTATTAAGTGCTGTTTGTTACTGTGATTTATTTTGTTAGCATGCAGCATATCCTGATCTGGATGCATCCACCTCATTCTTTGGTGTTTATGATGGCCATGGAGGTAAGAATTTGAAACTTTTGGTGTCGACATATGCACTAGAGCTAATATTGATTTTTCAGTTACTGTACCATTGTGGAGACCTCTCTCTCTCTCTCTCTCTCTCTCTCTCTCTCTCTCTCTCTCTCTCTCTCTCAAATGAATGCTTTCTGTTTATCAGATCTACATTGCACTTTTCGAAGTATTTAGCAATATTAACATTTATTGTATTATATCTGACCTAAATCCAATAATTTTCTAGGCAAGGTAGTTGCTAAGTTCTGCGCAAAATATCTTCACCAACAAGTACTCAAGAATGAAGCATATGCGGCTGGAGACATAGGAACTTCTGTCCAGAAAGCTTTTTTCAGGTTACTACCTTTGATCTACTTAAATTCAGTTGCCTTTTACTCTTTTCTGAGAGGAGGGGACGATTACAATTAGTCAAGCTATATCGTATTGGGCTGTTCTTTATGATAGCTTCAGCTTATTAAGCCAAAATATTGGCCATATGGTTTAAGCCTATATTGTCCTGGATCCTTGTGAGATGATAGATACTTGAGATGGTAATACTTTTATTACCTGTCTCTATTGTTGTGGTCTTATGAATCTTTTTAATTTTGAGGTTGAAGATGTTGTTAGTTGGTTTATGCAGAATGGATGAAATGATGCGTGGACAAAGGGGTTGGAGAGAGTTGGCTGTTTTGGGAGATAAGATAAACAAGTTTACTGGCATGATAGAAGGGTTAATTTGGTCTCCCAGGGGCAGTGATGGTAATGATCAAGCTGATGATTGGGCTTTTGAGGAGGTAGGTGCTAGAACCATATAGTTCATTGACTTTGTTGTCTCTTTTTGGAGCAGATTCTGATCTGCTTTATTGCATATTAAATTGACCACATGAATTCTTGGGTAATTTAGAACTTAATCATTTACTATTGCGATTCGTATGGTTAGAAGAAAATAGCAGTATACTTCCTGTAGGGGAAGGCAGATTGGAGGAAGGAAACCATGGCTCCATCCCTTTGTTGCAAATTTATAGTTCTAGACTGTAATGTTGAAAATTTATCTCCTCGCTTTATATCCAAACAAGCCCAATAATTTCCCTCCTCTTAAACCAAATAGGAGGGAGAAATCTATTCCCTTTCCATCTGTTCCATTTTCCATTCCGATGAACATCTTAAACTGAACACAGTTTAGGATTGAAACCTGAGTCACCGAGAGATTATCTATAGTACATGGGGACATCCCTGCACACACCAAGAAATTATCTATAGTGCAAGTAATTTGTTTCATTTGGTTTCATAATGTCACGGAATTCCATAATTTAAACGCAATTATGTTTTCAGGGGCCTCACTCTGATTTTACTGGTCCAACTTCTGGGAGCACTGCCTGTGTTGCAATTCTTCGAAACAAGCAACTTTTTGTGGCGAATGCTGGTGATTCTCGTTGTGTGATATCAAGGAAGGGTCAGGTAATTTATTATATTTCTGCTGTTTTTCTTTCTTGTTATGTTGATTGCTTAAAATAGATAATCAAGTCTTTTCATTTCTATATCAAATGGTTAAAAGTGATGAGAGGTCTAAATTCTAAGGCTATTTATATGTGATCCTATGTTTACAATTGAGAATATTTGTATATACTTGTTTCCCGCTGTAAATTGCATATAGTTTTCTGATGTCACTTCTATTTTTCAGGCATATAATCTGTCAAGGGACCACAAACCTGATCTTGAGCTTGAGAAGGCGAGGATTTTAAAAGCTGGTGGTTTCATCCATGCAGGACGAGTCAATGGAAGTTTGAACCTTGCAAGAGCTATAGGTAATTATAGTGCATGAATGCATTCTTAGTATAACACCGTTCCGAAATCTCAATTACATTTGTATCCAAAGGAATTAAATTATGTTTTGAAATTTATATTTATGGATGTATGGAACTTCCTTGGAATACGTTCAGTGTTGTGTTGTAAACTACATTGAGTGTTTGTGTGCATGCGCATATTTGTGGAGGGGGAGCTAAGTGCATAGCTTTTTATGTTCCCTTTACTCATTAATTTTGCATATACTGCAGGTGACATGGAATTCAAGCAGAATAAATTTTTGCCAGCTGAAAAACAAATCGTAACTGCATGTCCGGACATAAACACTGTATGTATATACTTGCAACATTGAAGGTTTTCACAAGATATTTAGAAAAATATAGTAGTTTGGATAATGGTGGTTTTTGGGGGCTATCTACATTTTGGAGTTTCCCAAAATTGTTTGGTACATGTTTTATTATAAAAGCAAAAATAACTAACAGTTTTTGGCTATTACTTTTGTCTTCCATTTTAATTTATTTACTTATTTTTTAATTAGGTTGAGCTTTGCGATGACGATGAATTTATTGTGCTAGCATGCGATGGCATCTGGTATGCGTCTTTAACTTTTCTTTCTTTATCCTTCATATTTTTGTTCAATATATCCTTGCTGATATGATTCTGCTTTTGATAACTCAGTTTAATGTTTTTAAGTTATGGTATGATTGTCGGAAATTGAGTTGATATTTTTGTTACCTTCTTACAGGGACTGTATGTCTAGCCAGCAAGTGGTAGATTTTGTACATGAACAACTACTGTCTGTGAGTGCATGTTTCTCTTTCTTTTCTTTGGTTTTCCTGGTTTGAAAACAAGGACAGCACTTTCGCAATGCAGTTGAAGTGGTTCCATATAGAGCGATATGTTGCTTGGTATGACACTTATCATTGTAAATCATGCAGGAAAGCAAGCTATCTGCGGTGTGCGAGAGAGCCCTTGATAGGTGTTTGGCGCCATCGACTGCTGGTGGTGAGGGATGCGATAACATGACCATGATCGTGGTGCAGTTCAAGAAGCCCAAACAGTCGACTGAGTCTGAGGGTGGGCAATCCTCATCGGCTGAAGAAGCAGCTGGAAGCGATTCAAACGGAAGTGATTCAAAGGCAGATGAAAGTGAATCGAAGTAGTGGCCCGCTGTGTACCATGAAACTAGTAGAGAGATTTGCATCACGTTTTTACTCTCAGAAGAAATGTGAATCTCAGATTGGTAATTGTAGATTGTTTAGCCTGGAAAAAACAGGAAAACGAATGGATCATTAGCGATTTAGATAAAACTCGTTTTTGTGCTCTTCGATGTTTGTTTTTTCGGTTGAAACACACGTTGAAATAGTATGTACAGATTATAACAAAGTACCACCAGAGTGTTTGAATGTAATCTTAATATATCCTTGAGCTGTTCAAGTAGAAATGATGTGAAGTGTTTTTCTGTTTCACCGTCACTATACCATCTGGATAAAAGTGTGTATGCACTTCGCAGTGTGCTGCGATTTCAGAAGCAGTCGTAAACAAACCGGGTTGGGACCAATTTGCCAAACGGGTTTGCAGCTTCGACATTCTGAAGTGGCATAGGGCCATTTAGATTGGCAAGACACAATATCCGATATGGTGCAAGAGGTTTTGAATTCAAATTCCATTTGCAAGGAAGCAGGATATCGCTGAGTAACTCAATAGAATTGAGTGAAATTGATGAGTTTGAAACATAAAGGACCAAAGTGACATTTCAAAACTTAAAAAGACCGTTTGTGATAAAAACCTCAGATTTTAAGAAATCACATCTTAGCTCTCAAAAGCTCTAGAAGGGGAAGGACAAAAAAAATAACAAAATATTAGAAAAAGAACAACACTAAAGCTTATTTCACTAAGTGAGATGGACTGTATTTTAGAACGATATTTGTGCTTGGTTTTACGCCAAGTTTTCTATTAGTTTCAAGTACTCTATATATTTTCTTAAAATCTTTTTTCAAGTGTTCGTAGGTATTCCTTTACTCTTTTATAACAAAATACTATTATAAAAAAAATAAAAAAAATAAAAAACGTGTCCTAAATCTGAAATCTGAAATTTCAAGGAGGGTATTTTGGTAATTTTAACACTTCACCATCTCAAAGCCCCATTGGTAAAGCCCTTCTCAGCTAGAAGCCTGCAAACTGCAAAAAAGCAAACAGCTGGCTAGTCTTGATGTATTAAGCTGCACTCTCTCTCTCTCTCTACCCACCTCACTCTCTCTCTCTCCCCAAAATGTCCCCCCAGCTGGACAGGAAGGACGGATACTTGTCTTCAAATGTCCTCCAATCCAACTGCCACCCACACCTCTCTCCTCAAACCCAAAACTTTTTTCACCTTCCACAATTGCCCTTCTGTAACATTCCATCTTCAGGCTCTTCATCACTTATTTACTCTGTATTCTTTGTCTCCCACCTCCATGGGCCTTTTCGGGTTCTCACAACCCAGAGAGTTTCTTCTCACAGACCCAAAAAAGAAACAGACAGATGTCCATATGTATTCTGTATACACACAAAAACCATCTCTCTCCATAATTTCATTTATTTATTTGTTGTTGTTTCTCCTCCCCCTCCTCCTCTCTCTCTCTCTCTCTCCTTGTCTCTCTGGAATCCAAAACCTTATCTCCTTTTTCGATTTGGCTTTTCATTTCCTTTCCTTAATCTCCAAGGTTTTTATCTATTTTTTTTTTTACCAGAATTTGAGGTAGGGTATTTTTTGGTCTATAAAAATAAGATTTTTATTTCCTGATTGGATGTGGATTTTTAATTTTTTCACTATTTAATGGTCAAAGATTGGAGCTTTGAGCAGGAGATGAAAAGGGTTCAACTGGGTTTCGAATTTGGTCGCTTTTCTCTCTTGAATTTTGTTGGGTTTTTGTGATTAATTTGGGAATTGAAGAGGAAGATGAAAAGGGCTGCTGGCAATTGTAAGCAATCTCAGCCTGCTGATGAGGAAACTAGGACAAAGTTCAGACATGAAAGTCTTCTGCAGGATTACCTTTTACGACAAAAGGTTAGTTTTTGTTCTGACTTTTGTTTTGGTCTTGCTTTTCTTGTTGAAATTCTCTTGCTAATTATGTTTTTCTCAAGTCTTATTGAAATCCTTGTATGATTAAGGGAGTGTATTCAATTCGAATTCGAATTTTGAGGGAGTTCAATTCTTTTAATTAATCTACGTGTATTCAATCAGGATTTTAAGTGATTTTCTGAGATTCAACGTGTATTCAATAAGGATTTTAAAGAGGCTTATAACATTCTAGGCAGTATTCAATTAGAATTTGAGTTTAAAGAATTTGAAAAAGTTGAGGAATTAGAGGGAATTGAAGAAATTTCGTAATGTATTTGAAGCATTCACAAATCTCACATCTCCTTATGAGATTTTGAGGGAATTAAATCAAAAATTTACATGGAATCTCAACAAATCAATTAAACTTCATAAAACTCCATGGAATTATAAGTCCATTTAAATCTCTCAAATTCCTAATTGAATACACCTCTTTAAGTGTTGATTTGGATTAGTTTTCTTTAATTGTGGTGTTTGTTTTACCTTCTAGTTAGTTTGTTGTCATTGAGAAAACAAGATTTGAGAACAAAATCGAGAGATTGAAAAACCAAACTCAATTTTAGACTGACAATTGTTTATCTGACAAGATGATATGTGATCTACTTCAATCTACTGGAAAGGGGATTCGAACTTGGCTCGAGTTGGCGGGCACACTGTCATGACCAACTTACTAACGCACAGTTGTTACAGGGATTTGAACTTGGTCCGAGGTGGCGGGCACACTGCCATGACCAACTTAGTAAAGCGCGTACTAACAGTTGTTTTCGAGTATCTGAAATACTTGTTTACTAAAGCTAGGAAACAATGTATTGAACACTATGATGGAAGAAACGAAATTAATCGGGTTCTAATTTGTGCGGTTTTGATTGTATGAATAAAAGATGAACATTGTTTCTTTTTGTGTTCTGATAGGAATTTGTATCAAAGAAGCAGATGATTCAAGCTGCGAAGCAGAAAAGAGACATTCTTTTGGCCGAAATTCGGTATGATTTTGTTCTTCTGGTTTCTCTGTATTGCAATGCTATCTGTCCGCAGGTAGGATACTAATTTGCTTCTCTCTTCGGAGTTTCAGATTTTTGAGACGAAGGTATAGCCATCTGCTGAAGATAAAATCAGCAGAAACCGAACCAGAAGTCCGACATCAGAATTCCGATGTACAACCTAAGAAGTTGGCAAAGAAGAAAAAAGATGCTAATGAAGCTGTTGTAAATAAACCCTCTCGTGCCTCGCCGGAAGGAGGTGGAGTAGAACACATTGTTTCGGAGCCCGTAAGAGTAGAGAAGAAGCGTAAAAATCGTGTAGTTAATGGCAGAAAGGTTGGAAAGAAAAAAATTGCAGTGCAAGATCAGGTTTCTCTGAATGTTTAAATTACTCATAGTGAAGGCCAAAGGCCTTAAACAATCTCATTGTCATTGCGAAAGAAAAATATAATTGGTCTTTTTTCGGTTTTATTACGCGTGTGGTCTTGTCCTCGATGCGGTGAACGTCCGAACGTTGCTGGGATAGTATCCTCCTTGCCGGATTACGGATTAGTAAACGTGTCATATTATATCAGATACTCACTCTCAATGCAACCTGGGATGTCATCATTTAACATTTTGGTCATTCTTCGGGGGCAGTTCGCGCAAAACCCTCCGAAGAAATCTTCACAAACGATCTCAGCAAGATGAAATATGAACATTATGTACGCAATAGCTTCGTATAATAATCTGTTTAGACCATTACAGAATATGATTCAACTGTATTTGATGGAGCAGGTGTGAAAGAGGTAAACTAGATACAGCATTTACACTTATATGTTAACAACATAAACCGTACAAAGTATATCGGGGGTCAAAGATAATACCGAATACATGTTACTTCCTCGCAGATACACATCTACGCTTACAAACATCAATGCTGGAAAATGAATTTGTACGAGTTGAGTTGAATTGTAGCAAAATCATCACCCTGGAAAACAGCTGGGTTCAGACAAAAGTTTGAGAGAAACCCAAACACACCAGAATTTGTAATTTGTGTTAGAACACGTACCGCAGATACAGAGACAAGTCAGACGTGTATCTCTTGTAAGTCAAGTTTGGTTGGGAAGCTGTGCAAATGTTCCTACATTGGGGCTGCAGCCATCAACCATCATGTTCTTGTAAACTGCATAAGCATGATCTGGATCCCCGGATGTGCTATACAGTCGAATGAGAGCATTGTAGGTAAACACATCAGGTTCAAGACCTACAAGTTGTAGTTCTTCATAAATCCTCCCCGCTTGCTCCACCATTCCAACAAGTCCGAGATTGAGTATTAGCAAATTGTATGTGTAAAGATCAGGAGCGATTCCTCTAGTTCGCATTTCATCATAAAGAGTGAGTGCTTCCTCTACCCTCCGTGATCTTCCAAGTCCATTTATCATAAGGTTGTAAGAAACCGAGTCAGGATCGAGGCCACTTTGTTTTAACTCCTCAAAATAGTCCACGGCATCATCCACTCTCCCTGCCTGGCAGAGGCAATCCACAAGAATGGTGTAAGACTTCAGGTCAGGTCTTATCCCTTCTTTAATCATCCTTCTAAACAAGTCACAGGCAGCTTCCACATCACCTGTTTTCGCAAACCCATTTATAAGAATATTAAAAATAGCAGAATTAGGTTTGCATCCATAGTCGGCCATCTCATCAAAGAAATGCATTGCTTCGTCTAGTCTTCCCGACTTGAAAAGTCCATCTATGAGAGGACCATATGTACAAGGAGAGGGAGAGAAATCACCACTTACGAGATCATAATATAAATCTATAGCACCATCCACGCTATCAGATTTCACAAGACTGGAGATGACTATATTGTGGGTTACAGTGTTAGGCTTGCATCCCCTAAAAATCATCTCCTCGTACAATTCAAAGAGTTCGGTGATGTTCCCAGACTTCCCATGAGCATCAAGGAACAAGTTATAGGTGAATACATCGGGGGTACAGCCACCATTCTTCATCTCCTTAAATAGATCCCAAGCTCTTTCAGCGGCATGATCTTTCAGAAGCCATTCAATCAAGTAGTTGTATGCTTCTAGTGTTGGCTTAATTCCAAGAGTTTTCGTAAATTTCTCAAATACCTTATGTGCATCAAAAGCTTTCCTTTGCGTACACAAAACTCTAAGTAGAGGAATCAGTACAGAGTCATCCCGGCAAATCCTATCAGAGATCAACCTTTCAGCAAATAAAATGGCTCTGTCTATTTCAGCTTCAATCAAAATCCCTCCCATTAAATCTTCCCAAAAAGGCCTATCTGCTCGTACCCCAACCTGATACACGAAGTTCTCAGCAATTTTGAAAGCATCCTCAGTACGCCCATCCTTTACTACCCCGGGTAGGAGGGTACACAATGTTATATGATCAGGAAGTAGTGATTTCTTCATCTGATGGAAGAACCAGAATGCATAATCAATTCTGTTTTCTCTGATTAAGCCGTAAAGTATAGTATTATAGGTCAGAACATCAGGACTGCAACTCATTGTGGTCATTTTGCAGAACATTTTCAAGGCCAGAGTAACCTCGTCATTCTTGCAAAGGCAGTTCAGGAGTGTGTTGAAAGTTATTGTGTTTGGAGGACACCCTTGTTCGGCCATATTCTCAAACATTTCAATGGCCTTTTTGATTTCTCCATCTTTCCCTAATGCAGCGAGTAATGTGTTGTAGGTCACAACTGTTGGAGTGAGCTTCATTTCCTTCATTCTGTAAAACATTTGCCATGCTTCATCCACTCGGTCAGCCTTGTAAAGCATGTCAATCAAAGAATTAACAATAATTACATCTGCTTCGCACCCATTTCTTTCCATCTCCAAGAGTAACTCGATGGCTTCATCTATTTGCCCCACCTTACTATAGCACTTCATCATCATGTTGTAAGTTACTGAATCTGGAGAAAGCCCGTAATATTTGAGCTCATTATAAACATCCTGTGCCTCTTGAAGTCTACCCTCTTCAGCAAGACTGTACAAAGATGCATTACAAGCAACAATATTAGGAACAATGCCTTTATTTTTCATCTTCTCAAAGGCCTCCATAGCTTTGCCAGAGTCGCCACACTTTCCATAGTAGTCAATGAAAAGGATGTATGTGTAAGCAGTAGGTGGAACACCCAGACAGTCAATACTATTGAAAAGCTTCAATGCCTCGTCCAACCTACATAACTGCAGAAGTCCACCAATTAATGTGTTGTATGTATGAAGATTCGGCAAGACCCCTTGTTTTCTCATGGTATCCAACATATTAAATGCTTCGTCAACATTTCCAGCTTTGCATAAAGCATTGACAAGTATGGTGAAAGTAACCACATCAGGAGCATAACCGTCAGCTTCCATTTCACTCCAAAATTCTTTCACTGTGCCCAAGTCTTTACCGTCACTAAACTTATCCAGCAAAGTAATGTAGGTTACTTGGTCAGGCTTATGACCACTGGCTTTCATTTTTACAAACAACTCCTTGGCCTTGTCAAGTTTACCTGCATTACAAAGAGCATCAATGAGAACGGTGTAAGTCACAACATCGGGGCCACATCCCTCATCATCCATTCTCTTAAAAATCTCATACGCTTCGTCAATTTTCCCCGCCCTCCCAAGTACTCTAATGCATATAGTAAAAGTATAAACATTAGGCCTCAATCCCAAAATTTCCATCTCATTTAGCAAGCTCATAACAGTTTTAACATCCCTTCTTTTCCCCAATGCCACCATAAGTGCCGAGTAAGTCTTCAGACTTGGCTTAATCCCTTCTGAAACCACTCTTTCATAAACCTCCAAAGCCTCCCTACAATATCCAGACTGAATAAGATTATAGATCAACCCATTGTACGAATACGCATTCAATACAAACCCCGCTTTTCGCATCACTTCAAGAGCAAAGGGCGCCTGTCGAATACCACCTCTTACATCAAGACCCTTAAAGATAGTAAGGTAAGTGTCCAAACTCCTATTTATGATCTGCTTCTGCATCAAATCAAACACATAAGCCATATCCTCCACTCTCCTATCAACCCCCAAGACTTCAAGCATGTAATTGCAAGTCTCAGTGGTGTGAACAACACTAGGCAACTCAGCAAATGACTTAAACAATGCTAAAGCAGATTTTGGGTCCGAAACTGACTTCAAAACCCTCATGACTTCCTCAGAAGAAACCGAAATTTTCGGGTTTTTCTTCCCCACCACCACCTCCTCCTCCTCTGACCTTTTCATCACAAACCCACAAAAACCCATCCCTTTTTTTCGCTTTTTCGTCAAGTTTGACAAAGACCCACATCCCCAAACATTCAACTTCCCAAAGTTTCGAGCTTTCAGCGAACCAAAGTGGCTTATAGCAAATATTCTATTGTCAGTGAAAGAAAAACTGTAATTTACGCTGCTACAGCACATGCTTGAAGAGCAGACAATCAACAATTCCATAGATAATACACTTTATGAGCTAAAGAATGAGTAACTCACAGAAATTCAAGACGGATTCTTCATTTTGTTAGTTGAATTTCTGCTGAGAAAGCAAATAAATGTGTGCGCGTTCCGCTGCTGAGAGAGAGAGAGAGCAGAAGGGTTGCTGCTATGGAGGAAAATGGAATCGACTATGGGTTCGTTGAAGTGGGAGTTTGAAATTGGAGAAGGTGTTGGGGTGAATTGGGTAGCCCTCCCTCCATTGATGTAGGCTGAAATGTAATCATGCATGTGGGGGTGTGGTGGGTTTTGGATATTTTTGTTGTTTTGTTTGGCTCCAAATTCATTTTCCCCCTTCTCAATAAAAAAACAAAATTTAGAAAAGAGAAAAAAACATGAAAAACTCAATTATGATTTGGGATTTGAATCCTCTCCCGAGCCCAAAGTGATGATCCCCTGATCAAAGAGTGTGGATCGTTGGATAAAAATTCAAAGACTACAAACAGAAAAGTCCCTTTAAAGTTAAAATAATTATAGTCGTTGGATTTTCATCCAACGGTCCACACGCATAGACGGATCCGTATAGGGACTTGAGAGGTCCCGGAACCCTCCGGAAGTCTGAAGAAACACTTGTGATTGACCTTCAGGACCCTCCAACAATTTGAGCAGGTACAGCGGAGAGGCTAGTTGCCTCCATGGATGTACATGCAACAGTGCATATAAAGAAGAATAAGAGGTTTCTAATTTTTGTTTTAATCCTCCAAATCGTTGTAACCTTCCAACTTTAAACTCAAGTTACCCCATCCCCTAGCACCATTTGCTGTTCCACCACCTCTAGCTGCCTAATTTTATTTCTTCCAAATTCATCTAAGTTTTTGTTGGTTTTATTACCTTTGAGATTAATCTTGATTATTATTATTTTTAAAGCGGGACAACTAGTGGTAAGCCACGGTTATCCACCCCTTCTAGGGGCATAGAAGACTCACAGTCAAGCAAACTCACTAGCTTGGAGCCTCGAACCTGAGACCTCCCTATGTTTTGTATTTTAAGAGTCGAAATCCGCGACCTTACTACTTGACCACTTGATGTGGTTGATTAATTTTGATTATTCAATGAACCAAATTCAATAAAAAAAATAGTGCTATGGAACCAAAACTAGTCTAATTTTTTTTTTTTTAAACTTATATCTTGGGACCCCCCGATCTTAAAATCCTGAATCCGTCACTGTCGACACGCCTTAGTCAGGAGGATCCTCACCTTGGGCTCTCCTCAAATCCTATGATTTGTAGTTTATGCCAATTTTTTTTATATATTATTTTATTTATGGCTAGTCTCTAAATTCATATATTAGGCAAAGCATACTAGATGTTGACTTGGTGAGCCATTAGTGAAATACTTTGATGCATATGAAAATTTTAGTATGACAATTCTTTTAAAGGAAAATTAATGAAAATGGTTTGAAATTTTTGAATTTTAACCATAAGAACAAAATAAAAGATAAAGTGAATAGTACGAGATTGACTTTTTAATGTAAAATATAATTTTCCATTAAAGTGAACAGTACCAAAAATTTTTAGTTAAAGTTCTCTCCTTTTAATTAATGGAACTGATATGTCGTAAAAACATATATTACGGATTCATTAATTCATTCAAATTATAGTAGATGACTAATGATTAGCACTGAGCTTTGTATTCAGCTGTATAATAACTCAATGAACTCGTACTACTACGTGTGCATGTTGTGTTAGCACGCAATAGTTTTCGCTTGCATCGTTCGAATATTTCACTCCCAATCGTCTTTTTATTAGGAAAGATTTTAAAACTCTATTTTTCTCTATTTGCATTTTTTTTCGTTACAATATTTGAATTAAAAATCATTCTATAACGATTATTTTTACAAAAAAATTCATTAAGATTGAAATTGTCTAGGCAATCAATGATAGTAAATAGACGATTTGTAATTTGTATATCAAATCTGTCCATCTATTTTTATATATTTGGATAGCCAAATAAGCTCATTTTCGATTAGTTTTGTACATAAATAATCTTCAATTTATAATATAGAGTTGTTGTGCACTCTTGTGCCTAAATTGCCACCGTAAACCCTGATTTCATATCTCAAATCCCCTCTTCATTTTTTGGCACTAAAATCAAAAGCCCTAGCCCCCTCAAAAACTCGACATTTACTTCCTCCTCATCCTAACTTGGAAATTTCGCTGTCTAAATCTGCCATCCTCACACCCTCTGAGTTTATATACTCTTCTATTTCTCTGTCACAGCCGCACATAGATTTAGAGAAAGAGATATAGAGAGCGAGAGACGGAGAACAATGGAAGGAAGCTCGATAATACCAGATTCAGTGATGGAATCGGTGAAGAAAACCTTGGGGGACGTCGAAGAACTTCGACCCCGCCTCCTCCAATTCCTCTCCCTCGCCGACGCCGACGTCCTTGCCGAAATGCCGCCGCTCGAGCGCGCTCACTCGTTGCTTATGCTCTCCAAGGCCACCACCCTCCTCTTCGCCTGTAAGTCGTCGCTTTCCTCCACTCAATTTTCAGTTAATTCCGATTTGATTGCGGTTTTTGGGTAACCCAGTTCGAATTTTAGTTGAATTTTTGTACTTTTTGGTTTTACAGTAAGGCTGAGGTGCACTGGAGTAAACCCATTTAACCATCCAGTCAAAACGGAGTTCGTAAGTTTGCTAATTTTTGTATATTTTTAATCAAATTCAAATTTATCGAATTTATGTGGATATTGTTTCTGGGTTTATGCATGTCTGTGTGTGAGTTCATGGTTTTTGAGATTATCGGATTTACGTAACTGTTTGAATTGGGTGAAGTTGAATGTTTTTCTGTTTTTGTTGTCTCATTTATGTAGGATAGATTAAAATTGTATGAGGAGAAGCTTGAGAAGTTGGTGGATTTGAGTAAAGGTACATGCTTTTCTTTTGGAAGTGCCATTATTGATAGATCGATTTGTATATTGTAGTATCGAGATATGCTAAGTGCAGTCGCCCGTGCCAAGTGAGTTACCCTTAGTAATTGATTTGGGGTGCTGTCATTCGAACTCAGTGTTGTGTGGGAGACTGTGATTAGCATTTTCCTTTTTGTCTGTCCATGACTGCGGGCTATAGATTGAGGTGCTGCCATTCACGCACGTGTCATTTGGGCGGCTGTGCTTAGCGTTCTCCTTGTTGTCTCAAACAATGCCGCAACCAAGAAGGACGCTACAGATTGTTGCTACGCATGACATATATCTTGGATATCGTGTTTCATGCGTTTTACATATTGAATTGTTTGCAAATTTCCATTTTTACTTATGATCGTTTGACTGGTGGGTTGTTTATATTCTTATTGACAATTTGATTTTGTTCAAGCTCCCTTGCGACCATCTACAACTTTAAATCATCAGGCAGCTACCCGTTTCATCGAGCATTCTTTGCCAGACCTCACCCCTGGTAAGTTGGTCATTTACCTTTTATGTCAGTATCGTCACTTTTTAAACACCTTGATATCATTCCACTCAATAATAGCTGATTTTGTTCAGATCAGAGGCAAAGTATGAGAGCCATTAGCAAAGGAGACGGGCCAACCATGAAGTATCTAGAAAGGAATGCCCCAAAGAAGAGGAAATATCAATCCCCTAATAAACAATCAGTTCAATCTGCTGCCAAGGAATTCCTTGAGAAAGCAGCACGAGAGATTCTTGGTGATAATGAAGGTGGTCTGAAGGGACCTATACAGATCAGCAGTTCAGATGAAGAGGACGTATCCATGAGCTGATTCCTGATTTTCCCGGTAGAACTATTTTCTTAGCGCTTATTCACGTTATGGTTTAATTTCCTCGGTTATTTCAGCTGTTCAAAGTTCATTATGGTCATCTAGCTTTCAATATTACAGAGTCGTGCCTGTGTCAGTGTTATTGGACATTGGTATAGCAATACTTGTGCAACTTGTCTAAAATCTGTATACACGTTGCTCGTTCAAAATGGGAAGACCAAGGATTTGATATATCCATAAATTGTTATGTATAACTGATAAGATTTCGTTATTGATGATTGAGTTGCTAATAATTGTAGTTTTAATCTTTGGAATAACTATATATTACAAGTAAATTTGTTATTGCTACCAATGCAAGTCATTTTTTGTTATTAACCACTTAAATTGTATTGCTATCCTTCCACACCTAATCTTTGGATTTTGATGATCGGTGCAATTTGGGGGGATTACAAATCACTATTTATCACCAATGGGAATTTAATAATTCAAACCGATCTGGAAATACATGGTGCTATACTTATTGAAAGTCTATGAACTTTAAGGGAAATTTATTCCCACGGGGACTCCCCATATGGGATATAAAACTATTGATCACAGGCAGTACCATAATCTAAATACGTAGGTTTAGGTATAAATGAGCTGTTGCTTTGTAATCATATTAAATTGTTAGCATTTACAATTTGATATGTGAGTCATATCCAAATATTCGTATGAAAGTGAATCTAGTCTACAACTAGATTTGCCGTAGTTATGAGGATTTATAACTAGGACCTTAGGACACACACATGTTTTGAAGTGATTGATGTATAAGATGGTGTTTGAGACATGTCCTACCATCTATTACGATCAGATGGTTCTATTTCTCAATCTTTCTGACTTGCTCCTATGGAACAGAGGTCGAAAAGATTGAGAAAAAAATCACCTTGATTTGGATGGTGAAAATAGATATGTTGATGTACGTAAACACACTTGAAATCAGGTTTTCCCTTAATTCTGGAGAAGTAAAGGAATCAAGGCACATATTTTAATCCTACTTAAAACTCACTAATCAGAATTGCTGATGTTGCCCTCACGTTTCCAGTTAGGCCATCGCATATGAATCGTTGTGAACTGCTTGTAAAAGTAAATTATCTTAATCTTTTTGTTCCTTTATACCAAGTTTGAAGAGATTTAAGTTTCATCTTCTTTTGACCATCTTCGTTCTTATCTTTACTTTCACAGGGTTGCGTTGCGGAGACCAGATATGCTTTCGTTGTGGAATGATCCGTCATCCGTCCTCTCTGTAGTGCTTTTGCGTTTTCTTTCTTTTCCACAGTGCAAGATTTTGTGTTGTTACCTTTTGATTAGTAGAAATGTAGTCGTAATTTACCAGACGAATGTATCAGCATCTTATTACGTCTTGAACGGGAAGGTGTTGCTTGGAGGAATGTATTATCCACTCTGGATTAAATTTTGAAGACAATATATAATATGACTGGCAATGCTGAGGTTTTGATGATGATATTTGTACAATTTTTGAACTGTCGGTTACGAGCTTGTTGGGAAATGTTTTTAAAATGACTGAAAGAGCTTTTAGAGCAAAAATTTTAGAATTCATTTGTATTTTTACTAAGGATTGGTTTTAAAAATTAAAAGCACTTTCAATCATTAACAAAAAATGTTATAAGCCATTAAGAATGGTCTTATCATTTATTGAGAAATTATAAGTATCTTTTTTATTAAAATTTGAAGTTGTAAATAGAAAAATCAATCATAAATTTCAAAGTAACAAGCGAGACCAACCTATAAAAACGAAGCGGTCCCTCCGTAACCAGTCGTTCATAATATCAACGTTTGGAAATTTTCCGAAAAGTTAATCTTAAGTTCTTCTCTTCATGTTGCAAAACATAGCCAAAATGAAGATTCGTCGACTTTGAACATCTTTGGAATATTCCGCATGAAAATATTACCAAAATGAGGTTTTATGATGAATTTTGTTGAACCATGCAAAATCGATTAAAAATCAAGAGTAAATAGTTAGTAGTTTTTGTGAAAGAAGAATTTGCAAGATATTTTGTGCGCACACTAAGAAAAAGTTTGTAAGTCATTTGAAACCCATCTTTGTTGTAAAAGGTTTTTCTCATATACCTCTTGTTAATTTTTGTTTGTTGATTTTCTTCAATTCATTTGATTCTACGGCCGAAAACCAAAAAGATGTGGGTGAAGTAAAAAGAAGTGTGTGAATATCATACCCCATTGTAAAATTGTGAGGATGAATGAATGCCCACAATAAGGGAGATTTGAGAATAGTAGGGTAATAGTTGTTGTGTGATGCTTTTAAAAAGAGCAATCATTTTGTTTGTTTGGTTTGTCACGGATGTTGCTCTATATAAAAAACACTTCGTGTGTGATCACAATGTACACAGAAAAGAACTGAAAGCAATAATATTAGCATCTCTTCCTTCCTCTTTTTTATCTACAATCCTTTTGTATTATAGTTACAAAACTAAATAATATGATATTTTACACCTGTTTCACTCTTGTCTCTACCAAATATTATATCTCTAATTTTTGCCTATTTATAACAATCTTATAATAGTTGAACAGACTCAACAGACCCTTTCATTAAAGAAAATAAAAATAAAAATAAAGTTACCAAAGTTTTATTCAAAAGAGATCCACCCTATCCAAAAACACAGAGGCAGCGCGAGAGAGTGGCAGTGAATTACACCCTCTTCCTTCCTTAAGTAAACGACAACTTGTACTTTTTCGCTTCTTCTATCTTCTTCCTCTCTCTCTCACTCCGTCAATGGCGTCGACCAGTGCTTTAAGCTCCCGGCTTTCCAACTTCCACCGCCTCACCGACTCCCAGGAGCACCTCTCTTTCCGTAAGCTACCTCTCTCTCCCTCTCGATACGTTTTGGCTTAGTACCAGTAGCAATCCTTTCAGTTTTGTATGCAAATATGTCTCGAATTGCAGAGGAAAATTATGGGTTTTTGGAAACAAGATAGAACGGAAATTGGGTTCCTTTTTATGCCAATTTTATGCCCTTATTAGCAAACACTTTAGGAAGAATCGTAGCTTTGGCAGTGTGAGAAATTATGGTTGGCACGTTGGACCATATTCTGGGCATTGAAATTTGATGCCACCTAGCTGAGCTAGATTGTTTAGGATGTCAAACTAGGTGGTGGGCTTTGAAAATTTATGTTCTTTAATGTTGGATGCTCAATCTGTTAATCATTGATTTGTTATGCAAAAATGTTTTGCCTAATCCGCTGTGAGACGGGGTTGTTGTGTAATTTCTGATGACAAATCGAGCTTACTGCTTTTTCTGATTATAGGTGAAGTAGTAAACTCACATTCAGCATGTCCTTCAATTGTTTCTTGGCCTGGTGTTAAGACCGGGAGGGCACCCCGTTTCCCCCGTGTGTATGGCTTATTTGGAGGAGGAAAAAAGGATAACACTGAAAAGGGTGATGATGCAGCTTCAAAGGTTTAGCATTTTCCCTCTTGTAGTTTGTTTTTCCATCTTTCTGGATCTTGTCTGGGTGGACGAACTTTGTATTGATCATTAGAATTGCTATCTACTGAATTTATATACTTGTTAATCCTTCTCACTGGTTAAAATATCGGTATTGGTGGAAATAACAATGTGAAAATTTGTGGAAATATCAATGCATATATTGATATCGCTTGCTTTCGATGGAAATGATGAAAAATTGCTCAAAAACGTGGAAATTTAAAATGAAATTTTGGGGAATGTCATACACTGGTATAGACATAAGAGTTTCTCCAACATTTAATCGATATGTCGGAAATATCGACGAAATATATCGATTTTAGTCAAAATTTAGGAGTTTCTCTGATATGGGATGAAGTTTAGACTTCATCAACCCTCTTCCCATATCTTTCTCTGATTTTTCCGATATTTCCACAGAAATTTCGACTGTATCGAAGGAATTTCAAACACTGATCTTTCTGAAATCTCTTTTTTTTGGGCCCTTGTATTCCTCTGTTGAGTATGTCAAGTCAATACAAACTCTGTTAAAATGAAAAGGGATAGCTAGTTTTAACTTTTATACGCTTCATGTGTGGACACAAAATCAAATTTATATGCTTCATGCACTCTTAGATTGCAGGGTTTTGTAGCCCTTCCATTTGTAGGCTAAGTAGCTTTATGCAGCGCTAGGCCTATCAGATTTTGACATTAGACTGCCAACTGTAATTTAGTCGAACATGGTCCAGCTATGTTTTATTATGGATCGTTATATCTTACTCACACAATTGGTGGCAGGATTTGTTCAGGATAAGGGGCAATGGGATGGATGTAAAATGGGGTTGCTAGCTATAATTATAGTTGAACTATAAGGTTGCTATGCTTATAGTGTTATCATCATTTGCTTTGTCTTGTGTAATGGTGACATTGCAAGCTTGAGGTCGATTATCACGGTGGCCACTTTTGGTTTACTAGAATATATGCTGATAGTGACTTCATGTCGTTGCTAGCATAATTGTCACTATGATCCTATGTTGTTTTCTGTTACAGTATCCTAGCATAATTGTCACTATGATCCTATGTTGTTTTCTGTTACAGTATCCTGAGTCAGTCTTGGTCAACGTGGAGCTAGTCCAGCAGTTTTAAGAATAGAAACCTTGATTTAAATATTAAGTTGATGTACTGTTATGTCCGCTTACTTGTGATGCAGGCCGGAATATTCGGTAATATGCAAAATCTGTATGAAACAGTTAAGAAAGCTCAAAATGTAGTACAAGTTGAAGCAGTGCGTGTGCAGAAAGAGCTTGCTGCGTATGTTCTTAAAGCTCTATCCAATTTAATCTGATACCCGTAATCCTTTCAGTGTTATGATTATTTATCTCTTCATTCTTTCTTTCCGTTTTTCAGGGCAGAGTTTGATGGTTACTGTGAAGGTGAGATAATAAAGGTAAGAATGATTCACTCAACTTTAGATATTTGTTCGGTTAGTCTCAAGTTACTGTGAAGACACTTTCACTAGAAAAACTTTTACTGACCTACACAGATAACTTTGAGTTTTTCCAATCAGTACATTTTAGTTTTATCAGCTTGGCTGTTAGTTACATGGAACCTCCGTCTTCTCGTCCTCTTTGCATATATATACTCTTGTCTCTGTTGCTCTCCGATTTGACAATCCACTGATCTCTAATTTTCCCCTCAATTTTTTTTTGTCGAACATATCTGATTTTGCCCCTAGGTAACCCTTTCTGGTAACCAGCAACCCGTGCGTACTGAGATAACTGAGGCTGCTATGGAACTAGGAGCAGAAGTAAGTAAAGAGAACTATTTTTGCGTTTCCCATTTGCCAGAATGAGTTTCTCCTTAGGATAGATGTGATTTCTTTTCCTTTTTCTTTCACAATGCAGAAAGTCTCTGAATTGGTCACGGAAGCATACAAGGATGCGCATCAGAAGAGTGTCGTGGTGAGAACACCGTCTCGTGTTTTTATGTTTTACGGACTGATTGATAACAGTCGGCTTCTTTAACTGATAGTATTCGTGTGTACTTCCCATCTTCAGGCCATGAAGGAGAGAATGAGCAACCTTGCCCAGAGTTTAGGAATGCCACCAGGCCTGGGAGAATCGAAATGATGAGTTACCGGCGCATCTCTATGACACTCAACTGTCCTGTTTTGTAATCTCTGTGTTGAATCCTTTTTTCTTCATACCTTTAAGTTCGAATTCAGGAAAGATCGTTCATTGCTTTGTAACGGAAGATTCAAAATTTTCAATGAGGTCAAGTTTCAAGATTTCAGAGAAGATTGTTTTCACTTTCAAGTTATTGTTTCTCCGTTGTTCAACTTAAAATTTCTTGGGGATTTTGATTTCCGACTTTTCAATTTTTCGTTTCTCTTTTCAACCTAATCACTTCAAAGTTTCGTTTATTCTCTGTCATTTCCCACTAACTCCTCTTTTCCACCATATACTTCTCTTTTTATCCTACATAAAAATAAAAAAATTAAAAATGATATAATTATCAAACAAGAAGGGTTGTCGAGAGATTTAGTCTATCCTTTCATACCAAAACCCTAGATCTAAAAACACCATAGCCGCTGACCCTTTTTTTTGACTTGGGGTCGGTGGCAGCCCTTTTCCCATTCTCCTAGCCTTCTATTTCCTCTTTTCATTTGGCTTTGGGTTTTTTCAAGAATTGGATACTTTCTTTACTTGCTTATTTTCGGGCACGCGTCGCCTTAAAATCGACCAATACAGTGAGAATTAGTTTGGCCAAGTTGGCGTTGTATTAGTGAAGTTCATCTGAATTCAAGACGTCTTGGATTTTATTCATAATGTTCTAATTAATGTTTGTAACAGTTTTTAGTATTATAATAAAACAACTATCGTTTTGTCTGAAAAAAAATAAAAGAATTGTTCAAGGCTTTATATTTAGAAAATGAATATATTGATATTATGACATTCGAAAT